CCCCCCCCCCCCCCCCCCCCCCCCCCCCCCCCCCCCCCCCCCCCCCCCCCCCCCCCCCCCCCCCCCCCCCCCCCCGCGCGCCCCCCCCCCCCCCCCCCCCCCCCCCGGCATGATGGTCACGGATACAAAACCTAGCCGCGTGGGTTTGCAGTGTCAGACGACGTAATTGAGAACATGATGATGATGAAGAGACACGAGATTGCATGCATCAATTTTGATACTGAGACTATTCTTCCGTGGTTAAGGCGGGTACCTCCCACCATTGGCGGTCCTCTTGTCGTATCGCTTGCGCTCTGACGGTGGTTCACCATTTTCGCTCCCACGATAGTTGCCAGCAAGGAAAACATCCTTCAAGTTTCCCCAAAACCCAATGTCGTAGACGTTCGCGACATCGCGCAAGCTCCGGGGTCGTTCCCACTCGCCCACGCCTGGACACTGTTGTTCCGGTAGAGGTGGCTCGGCGTCGTCGGTGGTGACCATGATCGTTGCCGGCAGCTTTGGCCATCTTGTCCATGTAGGTTCGCCGGCAATCTGCCTGTTGGTGGGCAGAGGCCGGGCGAAGGCATATCCGTCCCGGGTGTCCTCCTTCCATTCTGACCATTTGAGGGACTCATTCGTCGTGACGCCGGCGTACACCAGGTATAGGGAGTACAGAAAAAGGCCCCAAATCAGCGGTGATATCATCGCAGCCAGCAGCGTCGATGCGCCCAAGCCGAGATGCTGCCGAATACCGATGCTGAACAAACCGAGCCACCTTGTCCATGACATTGCCGTGTTCGGCTTCCACAACTGCCAAGTTGGGTGATTTTTATGCACGTGCGCTGATAGAAGCGACATTCCCAATATTCCTCCATACGACGTGAGAATCGCGGTCGATAAAAGCAGAAGCAAGAAGTAGTGGTGGTTGCCTAGTCCAACACACGAGTTGATGAAGATGCAATGGTGGTCGCTGCGTGCCACACACTTTTTGCACACCGAGCAGTGCTTTGACCGAGGAGGTTTCGGCAAGTTGCATGTCCTGCAAACACGGCCTGGGTGGAAAAGAATGAAGTCATAAGGATACAGGGTCATTAGGTGCGGTAGAGTCTCCTGGGTGACGTATCCTGGATCGGCAGCGCATGCAAGGTACAGGAAGACATAGGGGCAGACGATGGCCAAGCTGCCCGTAATCTTGACGGGAAAAGACATGAGTGGCCAGGCAGTCGGGAGGAACATCATCTCAGCTACGGCAAGAGTGGTGAGGAAAAAGATCTGAGCACTGTTAATCGCCGACCATTTCGAGAAACGGTGTACCGAAGTTGGACTTACCACAACCGTCGGATGACGATCATACATCATGTAATTGCCGAAACGGGCACAAGACGTCGAAAGCCTACCAGCAGTCACCCGCTGATCCAGTTCCAGCAAGACATTTGGCGTGTGAACCCATATCAGTCGGTAGAGGCCTGCGATGGGTGTGTGTCTACCCACGTGCCGATCAATATTAAGCTTATTTCCAAGGTGGGAACGCCAGCTGGTCAACAACACGGCGGACGCAGGCTACACTCACCGAAGTGCCGGGAGGCGGCCGAAAAATGTCACAAAGGTCATGAAAGAGATCCCGAATATGAGGATGAGAACTCTTCCGAATGGACCCATGATTGCCGTTGGCTTTTCCGCTCTTTCTCGGGGTCCAGGGGAAGTAGACACAGCGATGGCAAAAGGTAGGCTCCAGCGGGGAGCTTCAATAGGTGACAATATCTCGCAGTGGAAGCATATCGCGTTCGTTTCTTAGGCCATACTGTAGGAGCAAGACACGTGCAAAACATAGAGCGAGAGTTTGAGAAGAGAGAGGGTCTTTGCTAAGTGGCTGAGGAGTATGGGGCTGGAGTCTGGACATTGATGGTCGTAATAGGGCGCGGCGCAGCGGCGCAGCCAAGGCGGCGGGTGATCGCAATGCATCTAAACAACATGAAGCGCACCACTAAGTGCATATTCCTAAGTTCGACTGGATGAGAAGCTGCCCGATGTTGAGCTCACATCAAGGAGAGAGTCTCGCGAAGCGTTTCGCGAAGCGACCATCGCTCATTCAATTAACTTGGGAATTAGTTGCAATGACATGGTAATCTCGGATTCTTTAGGCCCTTGATGAGAGCGCGCTCGCAAATGGTCATTCCACCAAAAGTCAAATAACCGGCACGTGATCCCGCGACACAGTGGGGCTCGCGTCACGTCACCTTCGGTCTTCACCTGGATTATCACGCGTTACTTCCGCTGTTTCGTGACGATCTCTCGTGATACGTTCCGTTCCCATTAAAATGGCCCTGCTGCCGTGGCATGTCGTAACTACCGTCGTCTAGCTGTGATCTCTTTCTGAGCAGTTTAGTATGGCATCAATATCCTACAACAACGTCCCAGCCGAACAGGGCGGCAACATCTTCAGTAACATCAAGTTCTGGATCCACAGAGGGGTACCTCTTCGCTCAGACTGGGTCAAACATGTCGAGGTATGGCCTGTCCCGGTTCCGGATACCAGTAGTTAATGCGCCCTAGGAGAACGGTGGACAAGTCGTGGACTTGGAGAAGAAGGCTGATTATCTCATCGCCGATCATTTGAAGGCCAGGAACGCACCGGATGGTGCTTACAGCTGGAAGCTCATACAAGAATCAGTCAAGAATGGCGCGTTGCAGATTGCGGATCGTTTTCTGATCGGACCCCATCCGGACGATGTTCGAAGAATAGCGGCGACAAAGGCTCCAAAAAGCACACGCACAGCATATACCAATGAAGACGATGGTCTTCTGGTTCGTCACGTTTTGAATAATTGGGATGTCAGGCATGGGAATCAGATTTACAAACAGCTCCATGCCGAGTGCCCTCGCCATCCCTGGCAATCATGGCGGGACAGATACGTCAAAAGATTCAGTCATCTTCCGATACAGGAGCTCGAAAAATTGACCCGACATGCCCCTACACAGGGCACAGTGGGATCCTCCGCCGTCCAGCCCACCAAGAGCAGTGTGTTGACAGCATCAGTTGCCTCGAAGCAAAACACCCCGAGCTCATCAGAACGGCAAGCTAAAAGTCATGCTGGCTCCTCCAGGCAGGGGACAGTTCAAACGACGAACCCGCCGCTGGCTCAGAGCCCCGAGATCTCTCGACAGGCGGACCTGGATCACTCGCCCAATGTGGAAGGGGTTCGAGAGACCAGTTCTGAGACCAACTCTGAGAACAACCCTGAGACCAATGCTGAACCCCAACCGACGGTCGATATCGTGGCTGCAGTCGTTGACGATGAGGAAGAAGACGACCAGAATAACGAGGAAGAGGATGCAAAGAATCAATTCTACGGCGATTTGGAGAATTTTGCTTTCCAGAGTGGAAAATCAATCCAATTCGAGCTTCGCATCCAGGGCCATGGCCGTGTTGAGCTTTGGGAACTGATGCAACCTGTCTTCGCACAAGATGCCCAGCCGAATGACATTGACTGGGCCAAAATTGCAGCCGATCTGGATATTGAACCAAATGAGAAGAACAAAAACAAGCTCTCCGCTTACTTTGAAAAGAATGTAGCGGATTTCGTGGCACACTTGTACACTCTGGAGCAGAGCCGCGACGATTCGGCGGACGAAGGCGCAGCGAATAAGGTATCTCAGGACGCTGGCTCCGCGGTCAAGGACTCAGTCGAGGTACCTAGGCGCAGCCGAGAATATGCGGTCGACTCTGGGTCTATGGAGAACCAACCTGATAAGCGCCAAAAGGTTGACCACGTCCCCGGCGCACCTGGCGCAAGACTTCAGCCTACGACTAGCCAGGCGCCAGAGGAACAGCAATTCACAGGCACTGCGCGGCGTCTCTTTGCATCGAAAGACCTGCAGGAAATCAAGGACAGCCAGGAAGACACACAGGCCGTTCTGCAGAGCCCGGCTGTCCACTCAAGAAGCGTGGAAGCTACCCTGCCTGTCAACCAGAGCAGAACACGAGGAAATCACGCCATCCGACGAGAGGATACAATGGTTGATATTTCGCCCTCCCAACAGCTGCAAGAGGAGTTGAATGCCTCCCCCAGAGTGTCTCGCCGGCCAAATGACACTGGCACTGGGAGGCGTGACCGATCAATGTCAGTAGAAGGGCCAGAGCCAACGGCACAAGCTCACACAGCCGCCAAAACAACTCTCCCTCCTGGTTCCTCTCATCATCCCCCGGCTCCCAGTAAGCGGAAATTACCCTCCTCCTTCAACACCAACGTGCGACCTCCACCCTCGCAGCCTGTACCAGCAGCCTCGAGCTCGAGGCCGGATACGAATCACCATAGCCACCTCACCCCATCGCTGTCCACCATTGAAGAATACATGACGTACTACGAATCGCTTGGTTACTCTCGCTCCATCGTTAAGCGGGCTCTTCAAGCGACGACCATGACACCCGGCGGTCCGGCCGCATTCGCCATGGAGCATCTCAATCAACGGCATAAGGACCTCCCCTCTGATATCGCTGGTGTCTGGACGGAGCGGGATGACCGAGCCCTCCGCTTTGTGATGCTTTTGTCCCACGACGGGCAGAGCCTTGACCGAGAGGGCAAAGACCGCCGTGAAAGGCTATTATTGGAAAGGGCGAGGATGAAGCGAGCCCGGCTACTAGAGAAGCACGGGAGGCAGCGGATGAAGCTGAGAGAAAAGTGGTTGAATGTGAAAGGGCTTAGCTAGGAGGCAAGTCGTTTTTCGAATCCTGTTGCGAGCTCATAGCTGTGGCGTTGTTGCACTTCCAAGCTGCTTTTTCCTTACTATTCCCTGAGTATTAAGTTACCACCTAAGCGAATGATACTCAATTCACCTCGCGAAATGCCTGCCCGAATTTCAAATTTCACATTTTGCTGGTCTACGCTGCGAGCACTTTTGTTCATATTCGATGCTGGGCGCGGGCGTGGTGATGTTCAAGAGAAATTGCGTCCTGAAGAAATCACATCAAGATCTCCACGATCAACTTGCTATTTTCTCTAGAAAGACTCCAGTGTATCAAATTGCTCCTTGCTGACTCGATTCGTTGTCCTGCCCTTTGCGTAAAAAAATTCGTCCTCGCAATGTGTATATGCCCCAGTGCAAGTGCCGAAAGATGGCGAAGAATGTAAGCGCAATAACGCCAATCCCAGGTACGTCCCAATATCCACTCTGGAAACCCAAATCAAAACGCGCGTGATAGAAAATTGCCCCGGAAATCGCCATCGCTCAAATGTACGCGAGCCCGTTCGCGAGCGTGAATCGAGCTATGGTTCGTGGATAGAGAGTTGTCTATAACAGATGTTGCGGGTTTCGAGTGAGTTGTGGAAATGTACTCTGCAGTATTGGAAACCACGAAGCCAAAGGCTTCCCCGAGGCCAATCAATGCAACATTGCGAGCGAGAGAAGCTGGCAGACCCCAAGAGCCCGCGACGATGGTGAAGGCAGGGCAGTAAATGTAGGGCCACCAGCCTCGCATGCCAAAGTCCGGCATGAACATGTTCAGCTTCGATACGGATAACGCAACGGTGTCAAGAGTATCCAAAATATCGCCTGCTCGTCGTTGAGCTTGTGAAAGGCGGTCAACGTGCTCGTGATAGCGGGAAGAAATGTGCTCTGCGAGGGCTTCAAGATTATGCATTCCCTAAACTTGTTAGAATGACGAGTAAAACTTGCAATGTTACACTCACCTGTTCAATCTGCTTTTGCCTGCGAGCGACCTCTTCGACTCTTGCTTGAGAATTGACCTGGACCGGTCAGCTACAATTCAACAACGAACGGAGCCTGTACTGACCAACTCCTCATGTATGAGAACAGAAGATGATGCGGCACTGGCGAGGTTTGCCGCGATTACTTCAGCCTCAGCACTGGCGTGCATTGAAACTCTTGAGATGGCTGTCTCGTGAGACGCTTCCATCTCTTCCTGCTGTCGGTGTGCCCCAGCCATGATTGCAACGAGTAGCTCATGTAAATCCTGGGCCTCATCCGCGCTTCTCGTGATGGCCTGTTGCGAGACTCCGGCCGCGGCAAGTACCTTCTGATCAAGTATATCCTCGAGCTGCAGCAATCCTCGACGGATGGCATCTACTCTTGGATCCAATCCACCCACCAGTGAGTCGGCTCGCTCCAGTGCAATGTTCAAATTGGCAAGACGGGACTCCATGTGTGTTTCAACGTCTGTCGTCAGGCGCTCGAGAATCTTGGAAACACGCTGATACAGCCTGATGTGCTCATCTGAATGTGTTAGCTGGGACTTTGCCGCAGTACGTAGGCACATACCTTTCTTGTTGTCTGCCCTTGCAGCGTCGCAAAAGCGCAACGCTTTATGACGGTAGCTGATCCATGTGTTCCATGCTGAGTCTGACTGGGCTAGCCCCTCGAGACATTTGTCAATCTGAATCGTTGGAACGTGCAATTGGGGGGTGCTCGGAATCGGAAGATTGGCCAACGTAGTTTCACGAAAGGCTGTGCACTCGGAGGGGATGCGGAAGCTGCCACGCTCAAGATCACAGATCGCTAAGCTGGTAGCGTAGGAGTCGACAAAATCTCGCGTCACGCGACCGCTGTCAGTATGCACGGTTGCTTCGTCCTTTCCCTCAAGAAGCTGGCAGTGGTTAACGAGCAGGCGTGCGGCATTACGATGGCAGAGAGGTTCGCTCTCGAGCTCTCGCAGCTCGCTCAGGGCAAGTGAGTATGCGTTGGAGAGACGCGACTGGTCTTCAAGAGAAACACTGCCACTGTTCCCCTCATAGTCTGCACATTGACGTTAGTGAATACTACCAGTGCCATCGCCTGGACTGACCTTGCTGTCGAGCATACCCCCACGAAAGACAATGGGCAATTTGAGCACCTGCTCCTAACAAAGAAAGAAACAGAGGTAGGCGCATTGCATAGGGCGGAGGTAAAGGAAAATGTGTGTTTCATTGGCCGGGCGGTCCGGAAGAGAGGGTGACGATGTGTTGGTGAAAACGAAGAGATGCATTGCTCCGTGATAGATTCTGCATCTCTGGCTGGCCTTTTTCGGCTGATGGGGAAGGAGCAGAATGGGGTTCCTGCCCTGGGAGTCTTTTGATGTCACCTCATTTTGACTCTGTCGAAGAAGGAAGAGGCAATACATGAGTTGACGCTGAATCGCCGTCTCTTGTGTCGTTTGCTTTTCTCAGCTGTAATACCGGGTCTGTAGTGAGTCTTTACTTTCAGTCCCGTAGTGTATTCGGGTCCGGTCAATAGACTTTGAATGATAAGTTTCTAGGTAAGTGAATATTTAGCTCGAAACATTGATCAAATTTATCTCCCTCAGACTATTTCCACATCCATCTCATGTCAAAGCTGGCTTTAAGTCAGCATTCAACATCGACCACCACGTGACCACAGATGCAAGTGTCCATCAGCTACATCAGCACCGTCATATTGAAGGGCGTCAAGCTCTGACTCGCCATGAACAGCGCGTAGACGTCGATGCGATGGTGTACAAGTGCGCACCTCGCCTGTCAAAAGCAATACCACAGCCAGCCCAGAGCGTGGCATACGGGAAGGAAGGGGCCGCTCGTCTTCTCACAAGTGGCTGCGAACATCTTTGAAGAAGACATCCCTAAGGAGCTCATTGCGCAGCAAGTAGCTTGCAGGTCACGCAGGGACTGCTCGTGTGGTTTCGATGATCCGACGTGACTGGCAATGTCACTGTCCCGCTACACGCATACATCTGCGCAAGCTACTTCGGCCTCTCAACGGTGCTTCAACAGTCCTCACACTGAGCGACCCAAATATCGACTCATCGAGACGACTATGGCGACTGTGCGCGTCAGCGCCCAACATTGGTAGTTGAAGCTCGGGGATCAGTGGATGCGTTACCTTGCGATTTTGAATCAGTGGATCCGCATGACGTTCGTATAATTTAATCTTTATTTATTATTTTCCGTAACTAATTGTGCAACATTGTACCTGAACGCAATCTTTTCTAACGCTGGAAATGGTCGGGGTCATTCGTTCACGGTTCAGCACTTTAAAAATAGACATCAAATCGGTAGTATCTATCTTCTCACCGCTGATAGAGCCATAGCTACAATTGACCTGCACCATCACAAGCGCGGGACCTGTGGGTGCGCCAGCCTCCCCGCCTCCAAAAAACATCTCGTGGTGTGTGCATCGCCGATCAAAGAACCGCGCTGTCCAGGTTTACTCACGCCACTCTTCCCTTGTCCCACCTCGCCTCACATTGACGTTTACCACGGTCTGCCGACGCGCTTCGTCCTGGACTCAACTAGGGACCCTCTCGTTCCAGATTCCACTGGACGCGAGGGACTCAACTCAATGGTCTGGACTGCCTAAACTTCCCTCCCGCGAGAGACGCAAGAGACGTCCAACGCTGTTATTAGACAGCCGAATCCTCGCGGGAGACTCGGTATTTTCACCGGTTCACGTTGGTAGAGACGAACGCTCACGCATTTGCAGGTGGAAACTATCATCAATTGGGTATTATGTGTATCCAGGTGGACACCCAGTGGTCATGCGGCCATGTGGGCTTCTTCAAGGTTAAATTTTGCGATAAGCTCTTTAAGGAGTGCAAAGGCACGTCTGTGAACCACGAAGTTATCCACAGAAAAGAAATATGCAGTGACTGCAAAAGGAGGGAAACTCTGCCCGATTGGACCGCGAAATGAATCAGCAGGAGCACTGGGCACGCAACAGTCAACTTTACCCTGTGGCGACAGGACCTACGGAAGACAAGAGAAGAAAACAGCTGGATTGTAGAAAATCTACAGATATGCCCATGGTTGTGGGACTACCAAAAAGCACCACGGTCATGGCGCCGTCGACAAGCACAAGGAAAGGCAGGCAGGCAAGCACCTAGCCTCCGCAATCAAATCCTCCTATCCGGGCCAACAAGTTTGCTCGTTGGCTCAGTAACCGCCAACTACGTAAGCCACGGTAGCGGTATGGTACTTTCCCTCTCTGAAGCACGAGCAACCGCTCTGCAACTCGGCACAATTGTCGCAGCCCTCCTTGATCATATCGGGGAAGTCCATGCGCGCAAGAGACGTACACGACGTCGTGGCGAGCGACTCGCAGGACCGCGATGCACGTTTGAATATGTCGTCTTCGCCAGAGTCCGTGCTCAGCTTGACCCAAGACTTCCAGCAGTCGCCAAAATCACAATGGCTATCAGATGTGAGCTCCGGCCTGATCATCTTCTTCTTCGTCTCCGTGATCGTCTCCTTCTCGGGGGCCTGGGTCCCCTCTGGAGCTTCGGTCTTCTCGGGAGCTTCGGTCTTCTCGGGAGCTTCGGTCTTCTCGGGAGCTTCGGTCTTCTCGGGAGCTTCGGGACGATTCTTCTGCTCGGGTTCAGGCAAGGCCTTGGTGCAGTAGAAGTAGCCGGCGTTGATATTCCCAGTGTGGCAGCCTTGACCGTTTTGCAGACCTGGGTTCAGGGTGAGGAAATCCTGGAGAGGCAGGCCTGCCTTGGAGGCCAGGGAGTCGCAGTCGTCCCCACCAAAAGCCTGGAGGAACTGCTCGCAGGTAGGGAAAGCTGGCGAGAGCATAGGGGCTGGTGTGTTAACAGGGTTGGCCAATTTCATGATTCCGTCGATCAGGGTGGGCAGTTGCCAGGGTAGCATCTTGGTGATATTATCGACTGTAATTGTTAAGGATATGGGTTAAGAAGATATTGATCTTCAAATGCCCGTGTCGTGAGTCGAGCACGGCGCTCCTACTTGTACCTCCATGTTGTCTTCGAAATACCTAGTCGGGAAGCATGCCGTTTGCCTGTCTATAGGATCCTCTATTCAAGACTGGAAAGAGGCATTCGCCGTGTCGATGAGACACGAACAACGAGCATCCTCTGCACAATTATCAAAGCGGAGGCGGAGCATGTGCATGATTTGGCTTTGCGGCTCTGAGTAGCTGCAAGGGCAGGTATAAGTCGTTAAAAAAGAAAAAAAAGGAAGTCCTTTCAACATTGAGCGGTCTTATTCATTCATGTTTTTCTGTTCAGGTCCCGGAAGACGGCTCGCCACCCTCAGCCTATTCTGGTGACTACCCTACATCAACAGTCGTCAGATGCTGCTCGGGGTGCCATTTAATTGATAGATTCTCAAGGACAGTCTCTACAACTGGGATAGCATACGTAGTGAGGTGCGCTGTTATTGTTGTGAGACATGCTATCTGTTCATGTTTTTACTCAATCCTTGCTCTTTGATGCGCTGATGGTGGCCGCCTTGTGGTAACCACGGACACTCAGTGTATTCCAGGACAATCACTGGGAAAGCAGCTATGATAGATGATAATTTATGGTATACATAAGCTACAGATTGTATCGTATCTCATCGACCACCTTGATGGGCTACGAGTCCCTCAACGCCTCGATGTCGTTGATCTCTTTCACAGCCTCTGTGGAGAGCACGTATGGCGAATCATCGTCTACACATACACTATCCTCGATTCGCACACCGAGTCCACGGAAGTGCGCCGGCCAACGCTCATCGTTGGGTACATATACGCCAGGCTCTATGGTCACACAGTGGCCTCTGCTCAGCTTTTCCCTGCGGCTGTAGCCGGGGCAGTCATGCACATCCAGCCCGATATAGTGCCCCACGTGGTGAGGGAAGAGCTGGCTAATGTTGCTCATGTTGACATCGAAGCCGATCAGTTTCAGCTGGTCAACAAGGCCGCGCGTAGTGACACCATGTATGTCATCCAGTGACAGGTTGGCAGACTCGCGGCATAACGCGACGCTTGTGCGTTGGACGTTAAGAACAGCTTCATACAAGTCTCGTTGAGCCGGTGAGAACTTGCCATTGACTGGCCACGTCCGCGAGATATCTGTTATGTATGTGCCGTATTCGCCGCCAGCATCAACCATGATGAACTCGCCGTCTTTGAAGGTATTGTTGTTCACGGTGTAATGGATGCAGCTGCCACGCTCACCACCAGCGACAACAGGAATGTATGCAGGGCCGTCGCAGCCGTTGATGGTGAACTCATAATCAAGGAAAGCATGCAGATCCTTCTCTTTCGTCCAAGCCTTGCGCATAGCGTTGGTGATGACCCGTCCCGAGATCTGCCCGGCCCGACGCATGTTGGTCACCTCTGCGTTGCTCTTAATGGCTCGAAGTTTGTTCATGACCGGGAAGAGGGGCGTTTTGGCGGGCTCCGAATTGGCTCTGGCAAAGAAGTTGTAGATCGGATTGCCCGGGGGCGTTTGTGTTTCGGTGTAAATCAGCTTGGCCGCCCACAGCAGCTTCGGTAGCAATGTCTCTGCCTGGCTGACGTCGAAGGCCTCGTCCGCATTGAAGACGTCTTCTGCTGCTTGGACGCCGTTGCGGTACCCTGACCACTGCTCCTCACGTGGGTCTTTTCGCTTGACGAACATACGAAACTCGTAGTCGCCGAGATTCGGGCCTGTCTTTTGGATCAACGCAACCGCATCTCCTTCCATCCATCCTGTCAACCAGAAAAAGTTCGATTCTTGTCGATATGGATGGAAGACGGCCCCTGATTTGTACTGGAGGCTTGCGGCATTGAGGACTGCGACACTACCATCCGTCATGGAGTGAGCCAGGGCAGCTCGTCGATCAGCGTACTCCTGTGCCGTGATGCCTGGGGTGACTACGCATGTGAGCTGTAAGTTCGGAAGGCTGTCGAGTGTAGCCACGTACTTTCCCCGGATTTGAGGACATGTGGGTGCGTTTCGTGAACTGGCTGGCCAAATTGTAGGTCGGCTGCAGAGACATAGGTCGTCGCATAGCCTTTACGCGTCAAGCCTCGACATGTTTGTGACCATGTCAAACGCGAAGAGACACGCGTGCAGGCTGTCCGCGTGGGGCGCACGAGATATGGTATCGATTGGAATGACGGTAGAGAGAGCTTCATTTTATAGCGAACACAGGATAGTGACAGGAAGAATCAGGGGCTGAAGGAAGTCGCATACCGGACCGGCGGGGGAGAAGGCAAAGCAAGCAAAGGTAAGGCGGTGGCCGTCTGCATTACTTAGCTGGGCCTAATGTCCAATGGTGATGTTGCCGACGATGTCGCACAGGTTAAGAATCGTGCCTTGCAGTTGCAGCTGCACACATCACCGCACAGTGAAAAGTGGGGTGCGTAGGATGATCACACTGTACGGTTGCGCACTGTGATGACCGACGTGACTGCTCAGACCTGGTGCCATGCACTGTCCAATTCCTCGAGTCAAATAACTATTTCTCTGAATTCCACATCGCAATGTTAGTTCAATGTAGATCCAGAATCCCCATCAATTGATGAGCTCAAACGAAACAGTGCAGACAGTCCGTGACCGTCGCGGCGGGATGGCCCGTGCATTATTTTGACGGGGGGCACCAATGTGGCTTAGCGCTGTTGTGCCAAGCGCGAACGCCAGAACGTCTCCAACGGCAACGACACGCCTCTAGTCTGGGCAAGCCATTTGAAAGCACGTTCTGCCCCGGCCTCGTCTTTATCAACTACTCCCGCACCCAAAACCAGCTACAACACACTCATAGTCTCGTTTTTGGTTCAGGTGCAAACATCTTCTGTCACTCTCGATGCTTTCCTGACACATCTGCACCCTCTCACCATCCGAATCCTCGCCTGCTCGTGTCCTCGACGTGTCGTCCTCCACGTTCGGTCATCTCGCGTGCCCCCACACCACATCGGCCACCAGCCAGCACCTCAGAAGTCACCAACCGTGGCAGTCACTCGCGCTCTAGGGTCCTAGGACATGAGGAGTGCAGGTGCTTGGTTTTATGGCAACCATATCTGTATCTCCCACGCCAGCTGTTGCTGCCATGGCATCAAGACGCGGCCCATTGACGAACAACCCTAATGTCGCCAACTCGCCACTTAGACCAGCTACGGCAGGCTTTGCCAAACCCAAGAGGCCCTATGCAGTGCTTCAGCGTGAGGAGCCCTATGGGCAAGCTCCTCCCAGCAAGAAGCAAGCAGTTGAACAGCGTGCTGCCCGATCGCCATCAAAACTGCCTAGGGCCCAAGCTCTTCCTCAGCGTGGATCCACAACGGCTACAACATCCCGACCGGTCAACAAGGAAAGAATGCAGAAACCTGCAGCCTCTGCTAAAGTATCATTGCAGGATGAACGCGAAAAGGACGCCTGGAAAAAGCACTACAGGGCCAGGTTCCCCAAGATGGTCTTTTACTTTGAGAGCATCCCTGAAGATATCAGGGCTAAGCTCACGAAGAGGATTACCTATCTTGGTGCTGTAAGTTTACATGCTCGCGTAACTAGAGAGATCATGCTCACCTTTACTCAAAGCGTCAAGAACCATTTTTTTCGATCGACGTGACCCACGTCATCACGACCAGGGCAATTCCAACCGAACAACCAGAAGCTCAGCCAGAACCCGAGGCCGAGCCGCACCACGAACCGTCGGTGGCTGAGCAGCCTCAGACCATCAATCCCTCGCTCTTGGATCGAAGCTCGGCTCGACGCAAGCTGTTGCTTGAGTTTCGTAATGCTCCCTCACGATCACACGCCTCGGCCGACCCTTCGAAGCCACATAAGCCAACCCGCAACAGTGACGTTCTACACAAGGCCAAGGATATGGGCAAGAAGATCTGGTCATTGGAAAAGTTCCAGGCCATGGTTTCACTCCTGTGCGAAGCAGAGAAGCCTAGTCATGACTACACGGCTTATGTCAACTCCGGCCCAAGGGCAACAGGCGCGTCTGCACATGCCAGCCTCAACCAGATGCTCAGGAACGAACGCATCAACGGTCCGTCGGACCGCGACGTCAGTGCCCTGAGCAAAGATCTCACCTATTTCAAGGGGCCGCACATTTACGTGTTTGACATGGACGAACGATACAAGCCGATTATGGTCCGCGAGTATGCAAAAGTTTCCAACAAGATGGATGGTGACTGGCCCCAGTTTCGGAGCGTCGGCAGCGGCCGCTGTCCCTTTGTGGAGGAGGACCCGGAGGAGAAAGAACGGCAGAAGCGTCGCGAGCAACGTCAGCTTCAGCAAGAGAAAGACGAAGCGCGTGCGGCCGTGGCGAAGCAGGTGGAAGCCTCCAAGATGCAGGCTCAGGCTGCGTTGCCGAAGCCCGTCACAGGGAAGCGGATGCTCGGTGAAATGGAAGACGGCCACAACAAAATCAGAGTCCCCGCTACCTCGACGATCAACCCAGCCAAGGCAGTTCTGTCCAAGCAAGGTTCACAGAACGCCTTCGTCAGCCGCAATGAAGGTGGTCGGTTGGTACATGGTGAACCTGTTGCTTCTGGTGTGCAGCCTTCGAATATCACCTCCGCCATCCGCTCGCAGATGATCTCATCCCAGGCCGGGATTACGGGAATCAAAGCTGGTACAAGCAAGGAACTCCACGGCCTGCAGAGGCAGGTCTTGCAGAAGACTGGGACTGTGTCACAAGAGACTAGTTCCCGCCGGCCCGTCGACAATTCCGTCGAAGGCACGTCTAGTCGATCTGCACCTTCGTTGAGCAGGAAGACATCTCACAATGGGTCTATTCCCGAGGCACACAAAGCGACAGATAGCCGTGACAAGCGCTCGCAGTGTCAGACGATGAAGAGCAAGAAAGACATGAAGCCAGGTTATTGTGAAAACTGCCAAGAGAAATTTCGAGACTTTGACGAGGTAAGTTCTTCTCAGTGTATCATGAGGCCATGGCTAATGACCCCAGCACATACTGTCTCGCAAACACCGCCGGTTCGCTGATAATCCCAGCAACTGGGTGGAACTGGACGATCTGTTGGCTGAGCTGACGCGACAGCCTAAGGAGTTTATGTCGTCGCCAGGCTACGATCTCTGATGATACCACCGCTGACCGACCATCCGTGTCGGAACACTGAGCCATGCGCGCATTGGCCTAATTCATTTTTCACGCAACTGCCTTCCGTATTGCTGAGAACTACCCTCAGTATCTGCTTGCTCCCTCTTTCGAGACTCAGACGACCAGTCACAACTTTCCCTATGTTCATTCTCGCGAATATTGCGCCCTCCTTCATCAGCCCTCAAGGGTACCTCAAGTGTACCTCAAGGGGACAAACCCGACTCGCATGCGACAGCGCTTAGCAACATGACGACCGACTTCTCTGGACCACAAACTTGTTGGACTGCTACACACACTGCGCGACCCGGCGTTTTGATTGGTCTTTTTTCTTGGCTGCTTGTCACAAACCGCAATGGCGATCGTCAGCATTGGCGGGAGGGCGACTCGGCGAGACGGGGATAGCGTCACAAGGGATCATGCATGTCCCTCTGCAAATGCACGGCTAGGTGACCGGATGGAATATGCATGGGAAAGGCCACACGAGGCGATGGCATATATAGAGTAGCCGCGTATATATAATGGGCATGATTCAATTACAGGACATTTCTGTGCCCACACTCTGACTTGCGTATGGTAGCTCATGTTCCATAGGCGCCGCTATCTCCGGCGATAGCCGTCTCCAAGGAGTGCACATTCCTTCAGTGTTGAAGATGCTGATTGTCTGCGTGGATGCGTTATCAGCGTAGTTTTGCATGGGCCTCACAACCACTTGATCCGGCAGGTGAGTAATTACTTAGTCAACCTGTGGTCTTCGCTGTCACTCCTGCAGTACTAAGTGCTGGTCTCAGTTGAGTCTTCTTTGTACCGGACTACCGGTATGCTCGATACCAGCAGTGCTGCGATGTCGTGTGCTTTCAGTAGCTACGGTCCACCGATAAGGGCGGGGGAGGGAGTGTGCGAGTTATGAGTTAGTCTTGCTATTGGTCCGTAACAGTGTACGGAGTACGTGTGCAGCAACGTGGTCGACTCTTCAGAAACGATGCACTCACGCTGGTTGCAAGGGTGTATGTACATCATGGCCGAGCAGGATCACATGGAGCGAGGCCAATGCACATAGGTGGCGGCCGCATACTTGTCTGGGCCAGTACCATGGTACATCGAGAGCTACAGGGACTTTTGGTGCCTCTGTATGCACTATGTTTCTGGCTAGGCTGTACTACTAGCAGCTGGTGGTCTCGACGATCATACCTGATGTACGGATACTGATTATGGTCTATGTACTCCATATTCCGTACTCCGTACACGCGGCGTCGTTGCTGGCTCTCGCCAAATCACGACAAGCTTAACCCAAACAGGCTTAAAGTTATGGGGCTTCCGCCGATATGGAACTGGAAGGTACGCTGATGCAACTTGATCCAACGAACCTCCACTTCCTGCACTTTATTAGTCACTGGCACATGCTCACCATTATTATTTCGTGATCTGCATCATCGTCGGGCTTGAAGAGTGAGCGGTGCGTCGAGATGTATCAGTGACTGTGTCGTGAAAGCTACTCATGCACGGACGCGAGATCCCACAGGTGGCCTGCAACCGCAGGTCTGCTGCCGCGAAGTCTCCCGTGGCTACGTTAGCGCGTCCACCCTCGTCCTAGTCCTCCCCCTTCGTTCTTCTCGTCTCACACCTTCATCGCGAATACGCCGTCTACTGCCAAAGCTGTTAGGGTCCACCACCCTGTGAAAGGTGCGGACTGGTGCAGATATCTATATCTGTGCGTTGCTTTCTTCGCTTCGCTTCGCTTCGAGGAGCTGTCATCCAGATCACTTTCTTACACCTCCCCAACGTGACGATCTGCGGCAAATTCGCGTCAACAGACACGATGACGGGTGCAAAGACCGCCGAGCATGCGAGCTCGACCCTCTCCCTGTGGCGGAACCTACAGTCGATCAAGAAATCGCTCAAGCCTGTTGTGCTCGACGGAACAGCCCTTACGATCCCCGATGTCATCGCAGTAGCCCGCCATGCTGTACAGCCTTCGATATCGAGAGACGGGGAGCTAGCGAAGCGTTTGCAGAGAAGTGTCGAGTGTCTATCGGCGTACCTTGCCAAAGATACTGTGGTTTATGGTGTCAACACTGGATTTGGCGGGAGCGCGGATGTCAGGACGGACGACATGCTCGACTTGCAGATTGGACTGCTGCAACACCAGAATTGCGCCATCGTGTCACCACACGACAAGGACGTCAACAACAATGCGGAAAGACTGCCATCCGACGTCATGCAGCCCGAATGGGTCCGCGGTGCCATGGTGACCAGGGCCAACCAGAATATCAGGGGCCACAGCGCCGTGCGCCTGGAAGTGCTGGAAGGCCTAATTGCCATGCTCAACAAGGACATTGTACCCCTGGTACCCCTTCGTGGAACCATCAGTGCTTCGGGGGATTTAATGCCCATGGGATACATTGCGGGAGCCCTCATGGGGAACCCAGATGTTTTTGTTCAGGTCGGACGAGGAAAGCAAGCCAGGGTTCTGCCGGCATCTCAGGCACTGCAGGAGACGGGCCTGTACACAACAGGCTTGGGGCCCAAGGAGGGTCTGGCCCTGATCAACGGCACAGCCCCTAGCTGCTCGCTTGCAAGTCTGGTCCTATATGACGCTCAGCAGCTTGCCTATCTGAGTCAGGTCTGCACTGCGTTCGCGTCAGAGGCCATGGCCGGGAATGTAGATTGGGCGGCGCCTTTCATCCATGCCATCCGTCCACACCCGGGCCAGATCGAGGTAGCAGCCAACATTCGTCGCGCCCTTCGTGGTTCGCAGCTCGTTGTCGGCCTGGAGAAGAGGAAACACTCGGGTAACGGCTTGTGGCAGGACCGCTACTCAACCAGGACTGCACCGCAATGGGTTGGCCCTTACTTGGAGGATCTGCTCCTTGCGCAGCGGCAGATCGAAACCGAGTTGAACTCGACGAGTGACAACCCTCTCGTTGACGCCACCCCATTGCCGGGCTGTCCACCTCCATCAGGCGAGGTCTTTTCCGGCGGCAACTTTCAAGCCGTTGCGATCACGTCGGCTATGGACAAGACTCGTCTGGCCCTCCAGATGATCGGACGCATGATGTTTTCCCAAGTGTCAGAGATCATCCATCCTTCCACAAACAACGGCTTGGAGGCGAACCTCAACGCTAGCGACAAGGCGAACTTTACATTCAAAGGCATGGACATCAACATGTCGGCATACATGTCTGAGCTGGCAGCACTGGCGCACCCCGTCAGTGCGCATGTCATGAGCGCTGAAATGCACAACCAGGGCATCAACAGCCTGGCGTTTGTCAGTGCCAGGCGGACCATGGAGGCGGTGAGTATCGTGAGAATGATGGCTGCATGTCATCTGTACGTGTGTACGCAAGCTGTTGACCTACGAGCCTGTCATCTCCTGTTCTTTGACGAAGTCAGCAGCAAGCTTGCCAATGCTGGCATGGGCATCAGCGAGGATGGACACAAGAAGATAATGGAGACCATTGAGTTGGCTTGGAAGGCAGCCAACGAGAGCCACTGGTGTGATAGGATCAAGCCCACCAGCGACGCTCTGTGGAGTGTACTGGCTAAGCTGCTTGCTGAGGAAGGGCAAAGCGGTTCTTCGCTGGCCAGCCTGGCGGACTGGCATTCCAAGATTGCCGCAATCGTCGAGGAGACAGCCAGGGGGGTTTTCTATCCCAACTTGGCGATCACAACAAGACATGTAGCTTCACTCTTGGGTGACGGGACTGCCCCTATCTACAACCACATCCGCGAGACCCTCGAGGTGCCTTTGCACTGTGGACTGGACGATGATCCGTTGTACTGCCACCGCCGCGGACTTCCGTACGAAAAGAAGAAGACACTTGGTTCCTGGCTCGGGTTTATTCATGAAAGCCTCAAGGGCGATTTGATGGATGAGGTCATGGGTGCGCTAGACGGCGGTATTGACGTTAGGAGAAATGGGGTGACTGTGAGTGCAGTCAACGGGGCGAAGGAGGCAAATGGCACGAATGGCACGAATGGGTACTGAGCATTATAAAGGCTCTAGGCCGCAATATAGAACTAAGATTAGACTACATATAAAGAAAGAAAGATTTGCAGTTGTTCGTTTCTACAGCCGGCAGCCAGCTTGCAAAGTGATCGTGGGGGATCAAGCACAGTGTGACAGCGTGGAACACACCGTACACCCGAAATCTGCACCTGGCGCCTCACTCACTATCAGGCTGGTTCAAAACCAGTCCGCAGGCTGCAACCTCCCATTGAAGACTACTCTCACATCCCCGTCGACAGCACCCGAGCTTGAATTGCTCACCATGGACCCTCAACCATCTCCCGCGGCCATGGATTCCCCAGAATCACCGCCCTCACCACCATCTCTGCCGCTGACACTCTCAGCGAGCGTCCAGCTGCAGGACCTGGACAGAGATGCGTCCCTCGCTCTCGCAACGGCAGCACCCTTCACATCTGAGAAAGTCGTTGTGCGGTTCAAGCCGGTCGGCGCTGCGCCTGCACTCAGCCAGGATATCTGCAAGATCACGTCGGAGCGGCGATTTGAGGAAGTCGTCCGGTACCTTAGGCGAAAACTCAAGTGCAAGGACACGGATAGTGTGTTCCTCTACGTCAACAGCGCATTTGCACCGAGTCTTGACGAGGTCGTGGGCAATCTTCACCAAGTAAGTCATTATTCCTTCACAATCTAGTCAGGTCAGATACCTGACCGTACACAGTGTTTCAAGGATGGTCGAGATCAACTTGTTGTCGCCTATTCTATGACTCCCGCGTTCGGCTGATGAATGCGCCTTCAAAATCCTCATGCTATGAAAAATACCTCAAAACGCCATATGCCATGCATCCTCCGTCCAAAAACCGGACTCACAAATCTTTGATCGCTTTCGCAAATGCCTCCACCTCCTCCTTGGGCGCAGGATACGTGTGTTCCGGCGACGGATACGCTCCGCTCTTCACCTCTGTTCTATACGCTTCTAGCGCCCGGTGCGCCTCGCCCCAGACATTGCCGTACTGCTTCACAAACTTGGGAAGGAAGCGACCGGGCGGAAAGTTGCCCAGCATATCGGTTTGAACCAGCACTTGACCGGAGCATCCCTTGCCGGCGCCAATGCCGATGGTGGGGATGCTGAGCTTGCTTGTGATGAGGGCTGCCACGTCTTCGGGTACGGCCTCAAGAACCATGGCGTAGCAGCCGGCCTGCTGCACGGCCAAGGCATCCTCCAGGATCCTGAGCGCACCGTCTCTGGTCTTGCCTTGCACCCGAAAGCCGCCCAGAGCGTTCTGCCTTTGCGGCGTGAGGCCAACGTGGCCCAGCACCGGGATGCCGGCCGTCGTGATCTTCTGGATGGTGGGCGCCATTTCCTTTCCGCCTTCCAGCTTGACACTCTGCACCCTGCCCTCTTTGACGAAGCGGATGGCCGTGGAGAGGGCTTGCTCAGGGGAAATTTCATACGATCCCATGGGCAGGTCGCCAACCGTGAAGGCAGCCTTGGTCGCCCGCGCGACACTTCGGCAGTGCATGAGCATCTCTTCCAACAAGACCTCTGAGGTATCCTCCATGCCCAACGCAACCATGGCGAGGGAGTCGCCAACCAAGATCATATCCATGCCCGCCTCGTCAGCCACCAGAGCTGATGGGAAATCGTAGGCCGTCATGACAGCGATGGGTTCTTGCCGCCGATGCAGAGACCGGAGAGTTTGGATGGTGACCTTTTTGCGAGGGTTGGCGGGAGGCGTGCCCATGGGAGAATGTGAGCTGTGGCGAACATGGTTGTTGAGTGAGGATAGCAATGTGAGGTTGGATGTAGAGGTTCGCACGGAGCGTGCACATAGGGTAGGAGTGCGCCGCGCGAGCAGGGAGGCACACGACCTCACGGAGTTGTACATGATGATGATGCCCCCTGACCTCGGTGTACCGACCAGTCAGTCAATCGATGCACACTGCGGTGGTTGTTTTGTTTCGTCTTAAATAGGTTCAAGAATCTTCCTTTGCAATATGATCGAGGATCAATTTGCCATATGTGAATTATGGGACGCACGGCTGTTTTTATTCAACGCGATCCCCATCATGATAGTTTTTACTGTGTAGAATTGAGACTCTGCGGATGTGTTTTTTTGAGAATCCCCGAGGCACCCATCAGCCCCACCCACGTCCTAGGTGGGCAATTTGTCAGGGCGATTTACCGGTCCAAGGGAATAAGCCAAGGTGGCTGAGTCAGGGCCGAGGTTCGAGTTCGGCGGGTTTCGTCACTTATCGACCACAGCCGGGGATTATACTTCTTCCACTGTACAACGACAAGTACCAGTAAGTAATTTGCTCCTTTGGCTTCCACACCTTGGAGCACGACTGTGTTCCATATTGCACTGAGCTCAGTGGCCTGTACAATTGCAGCCAGATACTGGGGCCAACCGTTGGTGGGCCTTGATGGACAAATGTGAAGACGAACACCAGTCCGCTGTCATGAACTCAAATTCCCTTTCATAAGGTCGACCAATCTTCTTCATAATACTACAGCTGCGAGAGATCATGTCGTTCTCAACTGATGCGATCGCAAACGGCAGTCGCTCGCATGTGTCTAATCATGTGCATACCTCGCAGACAGTAAGGCACATTCCCCCGCACAATCCCCCTCTTATCGCCTTATCCAGCCCCTCCAAATGGCCCCTCCCACTCTCGGAACCCCACTTCAAGTCAGTCACGGTGCAATGCGTCGTCCCCGCCGCCGGCAACGGCCTGGGCCCTGATGGCACCTTCCGCGTGACTGGCCTTGGAGATGATGATGTGACCGACCACCTATGTCCCTCTTACTCCCAATTTCTGCCATGCGGACCTGACGATCACAGGAATAGCTACGCGATACCACGGCCTTGAACAACACAACCTACGGAGTAAAGAACCTCGAGCTTGAAACTGCCCTATATCGCCAGTAAAGAACGCTTCGCTTCATAGCTAGTTTTGGTTGTGGTAGTCAAACAGACGCCTTGAAAGAGAACGGCTGCACCACCTCTACGGCAGAAGAACAGACGTCGGCGATTCGCTCAATCGAGAAATCACACATTTCCCACGAACGACGAGGCGACCGGCCTCTTACACGATCCGAATTCGCCCACGATCCAACAACCGCCCGTTACACCTCTTCCGACACACCAACAGAGTCGAACCAGGAGGCCATCTCCAGACTCATTGCCAATATGTCAAGCCCACGCCGCAGGATTGAGACGGATGTGATGAAGTTAGCAGTGCTCACCAGAAAGGCTGGATTCAGGCTAACTTGGACAGGATGTGCGGATTGCTTCCTCTCGGATCCTCGCGTTCGCTGACTCTGGTAGGTTAATGAGCGACTACGAAGTGACCCTGGTCAACGACAACAGTGAGTTCGTTTTGTTTCGACGCAAAGCCATGCTGACCCATCCCAGTGTACATATCTCCGCATTCGGCCAACCTATGTCGGTTCTAACGTGCCATTCAGGTCCGAGTTCTACGTCCGCTTCTCTGGCCCAACCGACAGTCAGTCCTACCGATCCAGGATCTCCCAGTCGATATACTGACGTCTACAGCACCCTTTGAGGGCGGTCTGTGGAAGATCCACGTTGAATTGCCCGACAATTATCCCTACAAGTCACCTAGTATCGGCTTTGTGAACCGCATTTTCCACCCCAACATTGACGAGCTGTGAGTGTTTGTTCCACAAGTGATAGCTAGTGACAAGCACTGAACAAGCAGATCTGGCTCGGTGTGTCTCGATGTCATCAACCAAACTTGGTCGCCCATGTTCGATATGATCAACATCTTCGAAGTGTTCCTGCCACAACTGCTGCGGTATCCTAACCCGGCCGATCCGTTAAATGGTGAAGCAGCAGCCCTGCTCCTAAGGGAGCCGAAAAACTACGAAGCCAAAGTCAAAGGTGCGTGAGCCGCTTGGGTACAGTGGGCTACATGGCTAACAAGACCAGAATATGTGAAGAGATACGCAAATCAGGAAGCAGTGGACGACGCCGGCCGCGAGTCGGAGGACGATGACGCACTGTCCTCGGTAGCAAGCTTCGACGACGACGACGACGAGCCCGCTGGTCAAATGGACGACGTATGAGGATTGGGAGAGACGAGGCATGAACGAATTGTGTTGATCTAGTTATTCGGCTTCGAGCGCATTGTATGATAGTTTCAGCTGGCTCTGGGTTAGGCGTCATCACCTTATCTTTTAGCGCGGGGCGATCCCTAATAACGCTACTCTAGCCAGTCAAATGGGAAGAAACAACACCTTTCAACATGGAAACGCCGTATCCTGGGGTATCATGCAAATCATCCCAAACGCCTCGCGCAAAATCAGTCCGAGTCATAATCAACCAGCCCACTGATCGACTCTTGCGCCTTGAAGGGCGGAACACCATCTTCCCCGCTGACATCCGAATGCTGTTTTCTTTTGACGCCTGCGATCCTCGCGCCCAGCTTCTCTCCTTTGCCGTCCGCAAGGAAAGGGTCGTGAACAGCTCGGGTGTTCCCCATCACTTCCTTGACAAACCCCCTCTTCCTTACATTCGCCTCCTTATCCCGCTTCAGGCGCGGTCCCGGCTGCTCGGACTGCTTGACTGCCGCCGTACTCGCGAACATGGGCTTGGCCATGGCAGTCTGTGTTTCTTTGGCCGCAAAATCCACTAACGCTGCTCTCCTCTTATCTTCCTCAATCTCTGGTAAGACGTCCAGCCCAAAGTTCATCCTGTCCTGCAAGGCCTCTGTGTCTTTGGCCATGCGTTCCCGATCGTGGCGGCCAGCGCGAAACGATTTCCGTAGCCTTTGATTTTGTGAGTACGTGTCATGTCGAAACTTGTATGAATCGTCCAAGAGATCCTCGATGCGGTCGTTGGCTTGGATGAGCGCTTCCCGGTCGCTGATTGTTCGTTCCAGCTTGGCAAACGCATTCTTTCGCAGGGCCTCCTTTTCTTGATCCGTCATGATCGGCGCCGCGCCCGACTCGTCCTCGCCATAGTCCCTCTTTGTGCCGCCCGCGAGCACGACGTACGCCGTGTTCTTGGGATCGGTCTGCATGACCACGTCCCCGCCGCACTCTGTGTGCTTGAACCGGAATTCCCATATGGTCGTCGTGTGGTATTTTCCTACTGCTGTCTTGGTCGCGTTGAAACGCACGCCTTGTGGGATGAGCGTCGGCTGGGGGCATGTGGTGCACCAGACGTGGTAGGGCATCTCGAAGCGGATCGTGGGTGGTTGCGACGGCTTCTGGCGTTTGGCTGGGCGGCTTGAGGACGAACCGAGGGAGGGATCGGCGGACGATGGGGGTCGATAGCGACCCATGTTGAAGCCTTGCATGATGGGCGATGGGGGCGCGCTTTGCGCGCGGCAGTTGCGTGACAGTGAAGAGAGGTGTCAAAGATGCCAAGCGGTCGTGGACGCGAAGGTGGAAGTGGCAGAAGTTTTTTGGTTGGTATCCGGACTTCGTAGTCCGAACCAGGCCCGCCGGAAACGTAGTCCAGAGCCTGACCTACCTACCCGGCAGTCTGTAGTCAGTCACAGTTATCGTCACCTAGTACTCCATTCCTTTTCTTCGGATTATCATGTGGTTTCTCAGTAAGAAGAAGAATGTGAGGAGTATACTGGGCGTCATGAAGTCATTATTTTGATAGGAGACTCAGTGAATGTCGGGCAACTGTCTGTCGAAGGGATTCAAGTTATTGGGTTCTAACTTCGTAACTATCGATCAGCCGAATGTGCTTTTAAAAGAACTCTGGCTTTGATGATCATGTCCAGAAACATTGTTTTCCGATAGACAGTCTGATCTGAATCTGAAAGCTTTTTTCATAGAAGATCACAGCCTGAGTGGACATCAGCGGATGGGCGGAATTCCGCCAGGTCATCACCGCTCCGCATCACATTATAAATACCAGGCAAGAGGTATAGGGTCCGAGGCTCATTGCTACTCTTTGATATTCTCCACCCACCTATCAATCATCCGGACTTCAAAGAAACCTTCCATCTGAACAACAGCCCTGACGATCTCCCGTAAGACTCCAGTCCAACTGCGGACATGGCAGTAATCAACATTGACGTGGTCTCCGACTTCACTTGCACGGTAGGTCCCTTTCCACGTAACGAAACGCCCATGACTGACTGCCCATGACTGACTGCCCATGACTGACTTCTTAGTGGTGCTTCATTGGCAAGCGCATACTGGACCAAACAATCGCGCTCTTCTTGAAGACATACCCTTCCAAGCCCACGTTCAACATCACATACCACCCATACTTTCTCTCTCACTTCAACTCCCTCGACTATACCGTCACAGCCTCAATTCCACGCGCATTCCTCACCGAGAAAAAACTGGGCCATTTGTCCAAAGAGCGGAGAGATGCCATGGCCAAGAAAATGCAAGGTCTCGGAAGAAGCGTCGGCATAGAGTTCAAATGGAATGGCCTCATTGGCCCTACTGCAAAGGCACACGGGCTGGTCCTGATGGCGGGCGAAAGGCAGAGGGACGTTGTAGAGGGGCTGATGCATTCTTTTCACGAGGAAGAAACAGATATCAACGACGAAGATACGATACGCGAGATTGCGCTGGCAGCAGGCTTGACGGACGAGGATGTCGACAAGGCATTGTCAGATCAAATCCAAGACAAGGTCGTGCGGGAAGAGCAGACGTGGAGGGAAGTGGCAGCCGGCAAGGGCGTGCCAGTGTACATCATCCAGGGCCAGCATCGGATCGATGGGGCACCTGACCCTGGTGACCTGTATGAGATTTTCATCAAGGCACTCGAGGATATTGAGTCGCTATAGTGCTTGCTTCATGGTAAAAATTGTCTTTCTGCATATCTGTGTGCGTTTAAAGGCCTAGCTCGCCGCCAATGACATCCAGTGCCTCTCTCAGTAGTCTCGAAACCTCGTCATCGGGATTTACGCCGATGGACTTGATAAGCAGGGGATAGAGCCGCAGCAGATGCTTCCGGTAGTCGCTGTCGGCATTTTCGAGGGTCGGAATCGCATCGACCCGGGTACGTAGTGCCACGAGCTTTTTCAATAACCGGACCAGTTCTTTTTTCTCGCTCAGTGGCTGCGGCATGCGGCCTCGCAAGGGCTGGTCGGCGATGAATGCCCGTAAGGCGTTTCCGCAGCGAACGAGGAGATAAGGCGCTACTGTGCAAGCAATGCGATTCTCGAGCTCAACCGTTGGGCCAGTCGTGTCACTGACCGTCACGAGGCTGAACAACTCGTCCAGCGCAACGAAAGCCATTTTGGTCCGGGGATGTGATTTGGTCGATACAGTACGACCTGGGGGGATAGTATACAGTGATGACATGCAGTCGTTCCCGCTGGTTAGTTGGTCGAAAGAGTCTTTGGCCGGCAAGGTGTGGTGTACCGTCGAGGCCATGAAGAGGCTCAGGGCAAAGTCCTTGCGCACGTTCTCTGACACAGACGACGTGCCCAACAGGGGGACGATGAGCGCTCGTAACTTGTGGAAAGCCTCAATATCGAAGACTTCATCATCTGCCAGAGAAGGCTCGTTTTCCGACACACTGGCTTCCACCTGAATGATGCCTGCAGCAAGTTGGGCAATCTCTGACCATATCTCGTCACTGTTGGTCTTGGCAATGTCAATCTTGCTCAGTTGACTCAGCGTTGGATTGAGAATGGAGAGAGCCGTCTTTGTAGCGAGTCGCCATGGCTGCTCGAGCTTTGTCTTTATCCCAAATTGGTACTTCAGAGTAACAGGCTCCCTGAGCGCGGAAAGCGCGGTAGCCAGAGCGCCGCTCGTGTAGATACCAAGGTCAGGGTCTGTTGCATGTTGGATGACCAGCGTCTCCATCATTGTCATGCTGGCCTTGGACAAGGCAACGAAAGTACACCTGGGTCCCGGTCCTGCGTTTGTCTGTTCATCGCTGAAAGCCAACGTGACGAAGACTGCCAATTGTTCGATGACGGCTGATGGTACGCCAGTCACATCCGTCCGGATCATGTTAATCGCATCAAGAACTTCGCTTTGAAGCTGAGTGGGTTGCTCAATATCTGAGCTGTAATTACTCATCGTGGCCTTTTCGACAGTGGTGTTGAGTAGTTCGAGAATCTGTTCCACTTTGGACGCGGTGAGCTGATTCTGGATCAGGGCATACACTTGCCGCAGCGCGGACACGTAGGCGCTCAGACACGCTTGATTGTTGAAAGAGGTGGAGTTGGAGGATAGACTCGATGCCGGAATGCTGCGAGACCAGGTACTCCAAGCTCGCTCGATATTCTCGGGGCTCAAGGTTGGGCCGCCTTTGCTGTTGGCTCGGGACAAGATTCGTGACAGGGCTTTGTAGGTGGCAGTGTCAATGTCCAAAATCTCGAATTCGAGCATACTCGCCAAATGGTCAAAGAGATCATTCCAAAGCTTGCCGAAGCCAGGGCTTTGCAGAAGCACCTCGAGATAGTCAGCCAACAAGGTGGAAATGCCGTCGAGCACCACGACGGCAGTCCCGGTCCAGTCGCTCAACTCGCTGCAATCTCCTGCGCCCTGTTGCGCTGCTTCGAGCTCCACTTGCAAAGCAATGAGAAGTCTGAACACGACGGACTTGACGCAAATGAGCCACGTTTCAGGACTCAGTCGATCCCCGTACGCATCAAATATGCGCAGCAGCGTCTGGATGGCGCTGTTGCGAAGCTCAAGTCTGTCGTCGGAGGCTACTGCTGTTAAGCGCAGCAGCAAGAGCATCCAGAGCGCAGGCACCGATGCCTTGTGGCTGTGATCAGAGGCCTTCTTGGTGAGATCTGATGCTTCGCTCTCCTCCATAAGCTCTGCGGTGATCTCCAGTGATTCACTCTTGCTGGAGAGAAAGTCGGATAGGACCCAGAAGAAGGTGACGGTCTGAAAGAGTCAGCAAGTGTTCCCCAATTCGAAACGAGCAGCTTACTGTCAGTGCGATATTCAAATCGTCGTCCTGTGAGGAAAATTTGTAAAGGGTATCAACGAGTATCAGAAAACAAGAGTTGGGTAGCGAAGCGAGGAAATCAGAAGCAATAAGTTGCAGTGAGCTGAACGAGGCTCTCACCAACTTGGGCGACCGTGTGTTGATAAGGGTGGGATCAGTCGCAGCCCTCTCGTTCCCCGCCGTCTCTTTCAGGATGAACACACTGCCGATAATGTCAAAGGCAACCTCCCAGCCCCTGACCAAGCTCTCGCCGCATCCTTCCACGATACTCTTGAGGCCGTCAAGAATGATGCGATGGATGTTGACGTCGACGGCGCGGACGGCCACCGAGACCTCGCGATCTTCTTCTTGAAAGGGCTCCACTGCAGAGCTCAACGCCTGCAGCATGCGGAGCTGCACGGGGCCCCGGGCTTCCTCAGGCAATGATTCGGTCAGGTTGGCCGTCTCCAGCATCAGTTTTGCCAATGTCTCCGCCGCTCTGGTGCGGACTGAGGTAGCGTCTATCTTTGAGTTGAGATTCTCCACGAGCCCCTCCACAATCAAGGTCCAGCCCGATTCTTCAGGGGGGTACGCGAGCAGGCGCTCAATGTTGATACTGGCAACCTCCCCCAACTTGACCAGGGCGAATTGGTCTTCCTGCGTCGAGGGCCCAGAGGACGCAGTTGCGAAACTCGACACACGTCGGTGTTGGCCAGGCGCCTGTAGCGCTGGCGTCTTCTCGTTCGCTTGACTAGACGGCTGCCGGTTTGCACCTGGTTTATCGGCTGCACTTCGCTGCAGTAACCGGCGAATCGCCTGGACGACCTGGAGAAAGGACTCGTTAGGAAAGTCGACGGTGCTCTCCATAAGCCGAGAAGCCGCTGTTTCGACAGCTCGCACCTCATTTCCAAAGTTCGCCGTCAGAGATCCTCCCTCTTGATCTCCGGAGCTGTCATGGCCTCGGGAAATAGATGGTGTTCTTCCAGGCGTTTTCGCACTTGAGAATAGAACAAAGTCAGCCTGCTGCAAAGTTTCCAACACGATTCGCCACGCGCTACTGAGAGTCGGCCCAAGAGCGATACCGAGGTTGAGAAGCGCTCGCAAGCATAGCAAGTTGCGCGTGTTGAGCATGGCCATCTGAGCATCGAACGATGGTTGACGCTTCTCTGCCGTCGGTGTAGACAGGTTATCGGTGCTCAGCAAGCCACGCGCGTTACTCAAGATGCTCGACGAGCCGTCACCCGCCGAGCTTCCAGCTCCCGGGCGCTGGCCAGCCGTGAGACAAGCGGTGAACACGTTGGGCGGCACGGCAGCCTTTCCCAGCGTTGTCAGGAAAGCATCTCGGGGCGTGGCAAGCTGCAAAAGCCCGGCAACGTGTGCAAAGCGTTGGAAAGCGCGCACTAGGCCATGATAGTACTCCGAGTCCATGGCTGCATACAGGAATGTCGAGCATGTGGCCAGGATAGCGGGCCAGCACTCATCGACAAGAGCAGCGCAGATCTTGACTTCCGAGTGCATCGGATGATCCTCCTGTCTCAAGGGGTTGACGGGTAAGGGATTCTTCTTAAACGACGCTGACCTCTCCGACTTCCCTCCTGATTCTGTATCCGCGGCGGGCGAATCCGCATCTTCCTCATGCTTCGCCGCCTTTCTCCTGTTGCGAGCTTCGTTGGTGACTGTCAGAGGCAGAACAAACTTGGCCAGTCCGTCGGACAGCGATGATATGCAAGACAAGATAAGGCTATAGGTGTAAGACTCTGGTACGGCCGGCGGTTCCGTCTTGTCGAGTTGGTCAATGCAAGGCACACGAATAGTACTCCATTTGGTGCTGATTCCAGTTTGCGGTCCCTCTGAGGTCGTCCCGCTGCTGATGATCCCTGTAATTCCGCTCGCCTCCAGTACTGCCTGGTCTTGGGCCGGTTCTTGGGGGGCAGCGGCTGGCACTGACGACTGATGCCCAAGACCGATGACGGCTGGCTTTTCGGTGCTGAGGCGGACAAAGCTGGCACACAAATTCTTCAAGACGTCCCTTTCCCCTTCTTGTGCGTCGTAGAGAGCGTAGATGCGACGTAAAAGACTGTGATCGGCGAAAATCCCGCGGAATACTTCCATACAAAGCGCCCGTTTCCATAGTGTCGCGTCCTGGTCTAGCAGACCAGTCAAGATACCCAATGCCTCTCCACATTCCGCAGGCAAGACGTTGATATGTCGCCGTAGCATGGTGTATAGGATCCGCACTAGGCGAACAGTCGTGGCGAATGACGGTCTACCCTTGAGAGCGCTCGAAATAAGCGGCATAACCCTGTTCCGTAGCACGTACACTTGCTCCGGGTGACTGGTGAATACAGAGGCATGGTTGGTGATGACTGATTCTATCAACTCCAGTCCAAAGGTTTGCGGCAAGCCTTGGAAGCGCAGGAACTCGGGTCTTTGGTTCTCTGTCAGGAGACAGAGATCGTTGAAGATCTACCGGTCAGTACTACACTGTGACATAGCCTGAACGGACTCACTCGGTAGGCATCGAGAGCAGCGGTGCCGAGTTCCACTTCGCCATCAGATGTTGGCGCAACCCCAGCTGTGGAAATATCCTTTCCGCTTTCTGGCCGCTTTAGCATAACCTTTTGATCACGAGGGACGCGAGACCCACTGTCTTCCACAACAACCTTATCGAAAACAGAGACGACAAGTTGCTGCAGGGTCGCCGCCGAGGTGTTGTTGACGATGGCATTCTTGCTACTTTGCAGAGTGAAACAGATGTTGAGGGCATTCACCAGTAAGTCACCCTTCAGGTCGCTGGAGTAGTTCTGCAGCAGCGATGGAAGAGCTTGCAGAATTTTGAGCTGGACATCAAGAGCACCGGCGGACGATGCCTGCATCAACGCCTCGAGGACCTGATTAAGCTTCGAGCGCGGCAGGGCCCGCGCGACAATGAGTCGCTGCAGGCAGACAATGGCAATGGCAGTGAACTTTGCATTCTTGGTACCACATGCGATGATGAAAGGATTGACAAAGTTGACCCTGGTCGCGAGCTCTGGTAGAGGGTCAGCGGCGTCGATGGCGTCTAGTTGCGGACCTGGGGAAGTGTACCTTCAGGCGCACCCTGCTCCGAAGTGTTTCTCAAATTTCTGAGGTCTTCCAGAGATTTTTCCGCTGCCTTGTATTGTCAGAGGAGACTCCTGCATCTTGGAAATTGGTGGCTGTACCAGTCGTAAGTCATTGTGTTTCCGCTTGCTCTCCTGAATGAGATTCGCCAGCTCCGTGGCCAGCAATTGCGTGGTCATCGTCAGCGCGCAGAGCACCGGACCGGCTCACAAGCGAGCAATGAGATGGTCTCTTGTTCCATACAGCTTCTCGCAGAGCTGTTCGCCGACAAGATCGTACAAAAAGAAGTGAACTGCTAATGCTTGCCACAGTTACCACCTGTTCCCCCGGAGGTACGTCTGACGTTGTCCCCTACAGCTCTGCGGCAGAACCCACACCGCCTTCCCAAGTCGTTGGCAACGATATGGGTACCCTAGAGGGGGTATATTTCATGCACCTCCGTGACGTGCCTCATGATTATGATGGATACTGACCTTTTTTCTCCCTAGTTCCTTGAGAGTATGACGTGCTTTGGAATCATTTCTCACTGTTCACAATGACTCTAATCTACAGGGAGACCTCGCCTATTGACATGGAACTCAAACAAGGTCTTGCTTTCTGCGGTTACGAATAGATCGCTGCATTGACGACACTTTGAATCTGACATCTGAAGAAGACATGAATTTATCATTAGTCGCTTGTGTAACCACGCTATCCTAATAACCACTCTTGCCGGCGTACAGTATATCCATGTTCCCAAGAGAGACAACGCCGGCCCAACCCGAGCAATCATTAGCGCCTGGAAAGAAAACGGGCGTTTTGATTCTATTGATTTCCTGAAAGCACCTGAACTCCTATCCTAAATGCATTTGGCGAGCGCCACCACTCTTTCGACTAGTGAGGGACATTGGTAAAGAGGTACGACACAGACTCGCCGTTGTGTGTGCGGCGAATGGCCTCGGCTAGCGTCCCGGAGACATCCATCACCTTGAGTTTCGGGCATCGCTCCGTCTTGTCACCAAGAGGAACAGCTAGAGCAAGTTAGCTTGCTTGTCACAATGAACCCGAAGAAGATACTCACTGTTGGTTACAACCAACCCGGACAGAACGGAAGCATTGATAGTGTCAATGGCCTTACCACTGAGAATACCGTGCGTGACGATCGCCCAAACTTCCCTGGCGCCGTGGTCGCTGACTGTCTGCGCGGCCTTGGCCAGGGTACCACACGTGTCGGCCATGTCGTCCACCAATATGGCCACCTTGTCCTGGACATCACCGACAAGGACCATGCGGCCTACCTCGTTGGGACGGGGGCGCTCTTTGTGGATGAGAGCAAAGGCAGTCTCTAGACGATCAGCGATGGAGGTTGCGCGCTTGGCACCACCGGCGTCAGGCGAGACGATGACGCAGTTCTGCGAGTCGAGGTTCTCGCGGATCCAGCGCAACACGGAGGGCTCCGCATAGAGGTTGTCGACAGGGACGTTGAAGAAGCCCTGGATTTGCGACGCATGGAGGTCCATGGTGATAACGTGGTTCTGACTCGGGTTAGCCTCTGTAGCTCTCAGCCTGTCCCTTTCCACTCACGCAGCCAGACACCTGGAGCATGTTGGCAATGAGCTTGGCGCTAATGGGTGCGCGCGACTTGTCCTTCTTGTCTTGTCGGGCATAGGGAAAGTTGGGGATCACAGCCGTGATGCGACGAGCCGAGGCGGTGCGGCAGGCGTGGATCATGATGAGGAGCTCCATGAGGCCATCGTTGACATCGCCGGGGGCCGTGGACTGCAGGATGAAAACATCCTCGTCACGGACGGACTCGCCAATGGAGACGCTGGTCTCCTGGTTGGAGTAGTGAAGACTCAGGGTGTTTGCGACTTCAATGCCGAGCCTTGCCTGGTCAGCCTGGAAATTTTGTTGTGCAGCTCCGAAAACGCGAAAGAGCCGTCCTTACCGACTGGCGACCTGCGCGCTGAGATCCGGGTGAGACGTGCCCGACAGCAGCTTGATTTCGTTTGCCATTTGGTCCAACATTGCCGAGGAGGGAGGAAGAGGTTCAGGCCGATCGCGGGGCAGAAGGCGAAAGTTTTTGGCGTCGCGGTTGTTCGGGACAGGATTGGAGACCAGCTGGCAGTTTGCAGTACTAGTCTGGTAGAGACCGCAGCAGGACGGAAGCTGTAAAAGCAATGCAGTATCAGACGTTTGTCCAGTCAGAGAGGCAAGAGGAGCGATGTTGGGGGATGGAGATGAAGATCAAGTGAGCCACGTATGCAGGACACTGATGGCTATGAGCCAGGTGAATTGACTCGGTCGGTGAATGAGATTTTTTTCCATCATGGTTTAACGCGGTGGAGTGCTATCCAGGATGCCCGCGCTCAAGGTTCAAGGCGACGCGGGTGTCTTCACTGGAAGAGGTACTTGTCCATGTGCGGTGTGCGCTACTGTGGGTGAAGTACCTCTTGCTAGCTCCTCCGTTCTCAGCGAGGGGCAGCCTTTAGGACAAGAGCAGCCAGCCAACCAGGGCCTCGTCGAATCGATGCTCCAGACAAGGCTGGAACGTCATAATTATTTTGAGCTTGCACTTGTGTCAGCCATTGCCTGATATGTTGCGACAATGTACTCCGTACATTGTACTCAATTTGAACATATTGAATACGGGTTAGTAGCCAATGGGTCTTTGTCACTATTTGTACCTTACCTTCGGGGCGAGCACTCCGTAAATACAGTACGGCATGTGAGTAATTCCAGCGGATAACGCCCCTACTGACGACATGGAGGCCCGGACTGAAGTTCCTGAACGTTGGATCAATTACCTAGCTTAGCGCCTCTGCTAAACGGATCTGGGCGCAGGTCATGTCGGCTCTGGGCCACCCCGCGGTGAGCCGCTGTCAGTCCCCAAGCCGCAAACCTCAGCAAGAATTTCGCACACCAAAGGTTTCAACGATTCGCATCGTTCAAGGCAAAGCAAAGCGCAGGGTCTCGGACCTTTTCGATTCTCGCATGACTGTGGCTACCTCTCGCGCCCTCAGCTACCTAGGATAGAGCGACGCCAGACAACGGCAGCCCAATCGCTCACAGTGGTGGCCCTATTTGGACCCTTGGGACTTATCGCCACACCGCCGGACCGAATCGAACCCAACCTGCAACTCTGCGTTGAAACCCAAGGATCACTCTGAACCATGCTGCACTGAACACCGCAGAGCAAAAGAAGACCACCGCAACCGAGATAATGGCGAGCTACCCTCGCTTTCCTCCGCGACTCATCTCCTCCCCGTCGTCGACCTCGTCGCTGTGCGATGCTCACAACCCTCGCAAGCGCAAATTGCATCTTCTCGTCGCCGCGGCTGGCCCGCGCGATACGTCCTGGGCGCAGGCTCTCGTCGTCCGACTCTCCAAGAACCCGCACATTGAGGCGCGCGCCATCATCGACGATGTCGTCCCCCGCCTGGCGCAGACCGTTATCGTGATGCCCAACCAGAGCCTGGCGCCAGGGCAGATTGACCACGCGGACGATGCCGACTTTTACAAGCAACAGGCATTTGAGTTGATACAGTGGGCCGACCTCATGGTCTGCGTGCCGTTGGATGCGGATGGCATTGCGAAGATGCTGGCTGGGATCGCGGATACGCTACTGGGGGAGGTCCTCCGGGGGTGGGACACGTCCAAGAGCATCGTGCTGGTGCCGAGCATGAGCACGCACATGTGGGCTAATCCCCTGACGAAACGGCAGCTCAGCAAGATGCATCGCAAATGGGGCTGGATCAGGGTCATGGCACCCATCACATGGCATTACGAGGGGTCGCACAACCCCAAACGGGTCCCCATCTGGAACGGGTTCAACGAAGTCTTGGCTATCATCCAGAACCAGGCGGACATGTTGGGCCTTGGTCGGGACGTGGAGATTGCCACGGGCGTGGCCATTCTCCCGGACACCAGCGTCAAGGTGGAGTCCAAACTACCACCGGAGATATGGACGATCATTCTGGACTTCTCTGGGGACTGGGAGCTCGCCAAGGCCTTGGGGATATACACCAACTTAGCCATGCCCAAGTGGTGGTCTCTACATCCAAGGGAGGCTTCCAACCCTCTCCAAGTATATGAGCACGAGCTTGAGTGGACGACCCTTACCTGCAACGCCGCGGCCATATGCAAAAAGCTATCGCAATGTCCGCCGAATTTCAGAGATATACCAGCGCAGGTAGTCCGTCTCGTTATCCGCTTTGCGCTGATCGAGGTGCTGGCCTACCTCGAAGCCAACCGTCCAGATCTTTTCAAGGCTTTTGGTGGGACAACACTACCAACAAAAGCGTCTGCGTGGTATCCCCGTACAGACGTGCTGGACTATTGGCTGACGAGTCGCTGGTTCCGCGACAACCACACGTACGATGCGGAATCGGTGGATGGCGCATCCAAGAATGGGCACGTGCGCATCTTGGACTGGTGGTGGCGCCATTCCGGGTTGCCGCTGCGATACACCGAGGCAGCGCTGGAGCAGGCGAGTGCCAATGGCCATCTGCTCGTGCTCGAGTGGTGGCGCGACGCTGCCGCTCAGGATGACAAGGTTGTACTTCGACCAGGGCGGTCGCTTCTCTGGGCCACGCAATTCGGTCAGGCAGACGTGCTGCGATGGTGGGATGCGTCGGGCATACCGCTAGCCCACGGCGACGGGGTCGCGAAATGGGCGAGTCGATGGGGGCAAGTCAACATCCTCGAGACGTGGCGCCGTCTCAAGGGCGACAGCAAACTGGCCCGCGATGGAGACGTGCTGGTAGCGCCCACTGTCCACCAGCACATGGAGGTGCTCGAGTGGTGGCGCCGCTTTGCCCATGGCGAGCTGGAGGGCATGGAAGGGCGCAAGCAGCAGGTTGAGTTTCGGACATGCAACATTGAGGAAGCGCTGGAGGATAGTATCGGTGACCAGAGTCGGGTGCGGCAATGGTGGGTGAAGAACGGGCTGAACCTCGGCCTGCGGAACGAGGAGTGGCTTGAGCAGCGATATCTCTGAAGCATGTGTATGCACGCACATGGGATTCTCTGGAGAAAGATTGGAAGCGGCGTTCATCTGCTTTGGTGCTTTCAAGAAGCGTGCATTGGGTATCATGGCGTTGGCAGGCACGGGCGCGAACGTGCTGAGTTTCGAAGATATTAATGACAATGATGAAATATTGCCATATGATCTTCGCCCATTGGAACCGATGGCTTGCCAATAGTCACAGCAATGCGGCGTCGAATGACTCGAGGCAAGTGGACCACCAAGGCAAGCAAATGCACGTTTGTCCAAGTCTGCGGCCGCCCAAGGTAATTTCATCTCAGCAAACACGAGTGCTTGCTGGCTTGCTTGCGCAAGGCTGCGAATTGCGCCTCGTGTGAATGTTTATGTTCTACAGTACCACGACGGCAGCCTGCAGATATCTTTACAAGAAAAGCTATCCGCATACACGCCAGCAAACACATCTGTCGGAGTCCGCCCTAGACATGACCGACGATCGTTGTCCCCACCCAGGAGCCAGGGCCAAGGCGACGCCGCTGCGGGTGGCTCATTCATGCAATTTCGCAACCACCTGAATAGACATGATTGCGCAGGATGCGAAGACGAGTGCACTGTACGGAGTACGCACGCACGTGGCGATACCTGCAAGGAGTTATAGGATGCGGGATCTGCTTGTGATTGTGCGACGTCTGCTGCACAGAGTAGACTATGTATGTATGATACAGAGCGACATCTATATTAATATCGGATTCTGACGCAGACCCTTGCGCTCTGGAAGCTGGATCCTTCGCGGCGGTCCGTTGCCAAGACTTCTTCATCGCAAGTTTGAACCCCCGGTCATGCCTGCCTGAAGTTTGAACAGTGCTGAACGGCCTGAAGACTCCATCATGTCTGCCTCAGGGCCAGGCTGGAAAGGCAGGTGCCATGACCGGCAAGGTGCACATGCGGTCCTCACCGCCTGGCAGAGAGACCCCATTAGCGAAGCCTCCTCCAACCACCCGTGATCTGCCCTCAGTCCATGTCCCTACACTTCAGTGACTTCACCCCTTCGAAGCCCAAAGGGTAATACGAGCAGACGGTCGCATGAGTGTTGAATATCCGCGTGTATTACGGTAATTGATTCCCTTGGAAACGCTGAGGAATCCATCCGACAGCGGGACGCACGTTCTAATTAACACTGGGAGCCCCGCCATCCGCCACCGTCAAATACTGGGGTGGGACATGTTACCACCCCTGCCATTCGCACCAACCATCTTCGCCGGCCCCTGATCGACGTCTGCAAGTCACCACTGCTCAATGCTCACTCACTGCTCACTGCTCAGTGCTCATTGCTCACGAGTCACGAGCCACAAGTCTGTCTGTCTGCTCTGGCCACTTTGCGGCCAACGATCACCGTCTGGCTGTGAGTAACGCTGCACGAGTGAGTCGGCCCCCAGCAGCGGGACAATCTGCACAGAGCCGAGGACTGGAGCAGGCTGCGGCTCGTGCGACCGCAAACGGGACCCTTGGGACTATTTGTTCCTGAGATTCATGAAAATGCGTGCGGATCCGCATTGCCAGACCGAGATACCACTTTCCTGACGATTCAGGGCCCCAGCCAGCCCGTCCTCGTCAGCCCACTTCGTTCATCGTGGTCGATTCGATACCACGCGTTTGGTGACATTTTCTCCCGAGCACCCGCGACGCCGCTTTCTCCCAACCTGTTACTATTAGCCCAAGGCACCTGAATCATCTCGGTGGGCCTACCGGATGTGCTCGCCCATTGATCCTTGAACCTAGTCCAGCAGCTTCTTGTCCTGTGTGCACACTGCTTCCGCAGTGTCCGCATTGCCTGGATCATTGTCGTCGACATTTTTGCCATCTCTCCAACTTTCCCAAGCGTTCAATTGTTCGACAGACACGCCAACGTTGGGCTGTCTGCGTCTGCAACCCAAACACCCCCTCTGTGCGGACTCGATTGCGTTGTTGGACCACTCACATTCTAACCTTGGTGCCGCACAACTCGACCGCATCTCTCTGGAGTGAAGGCTGCCTTCCAGAACTCCGGTGGTCTACACACTGGACTACATATTGCGCAGGCGACATATGGGACGCCTTCTGCGACTCACTCCAGCGAGGTCTCATTGGCGCTTTTACATGCTGGCCCCAAGACAGGCTGTTGCTGCGAGGTAGGAAAGAGACTGGATTCCGCGACGGCCGTCGACCGTTCAATCGGACACGGCAATGCCTCGCTTTGCGTTCCCGATACCCGGCCGCAGCAAGAAGCAAGCACAACCGCCGCCGAATGAGCCTATGAGCAAAGCCCACAGAGTACTTGGATCACCACAGCTCAGCCTCGACTCGAAAAGCCAGCCATGGGACGCCAGATCATATTCGGGACCAAGCGCCTCGCCGTCGGAAGCGACGGCATCACCGACATACGGTTCAGCACGGGGTCAACCGCGACAACACAACCGGGAGCGAGATTGGTCCAACGAGTCCGATATACTACCGCACAACAGCCCGGCGGAAGGTTACGAGGATGCGTACTCCGATTACACGGGCAATTTGCGAAACCAGCCCTCTTCGTCCACCATACGGTCCTGGTACGATCGAACGAAGCAGCCGCTGGCCGTCTCCCAGCAAACATCAGCGTCGGCCATGGCCAAGGGCCTCCCCTCCAAGGCTCAACGGTTATTGGATATGGACAACAACCACGGTAACTTGGCGACCAATTCGAGGCAGAAACCTGCGGACCTCGATCTCTCGCTCGCGATACCAGGTGGCAGAGGGAAAACACAACGTTTCCAACCGTCGGGAGGCCCTGCGGGGGCATACGTCGCACGATCGCCTTCAGTGTTATCGCCCTTGACACCCGAGTGGACCAAGACACGGCGAAGGATCCAGAAGCGGCACACCAGCGAAGATTTGAGGCAAGATCATGGCAGTCATCGTCAACCAGGGACCAACGATGGCCAAATGCCCGGCCCCGAGCGGCTCGATGAGCTCCCGAGTCTGTACAAGCATTACGAGCAAATGTCATTCGCTCAGATAATGGATGGAACCCAAGAACCAGTAAAGACCGCTGCCAGACCAATGCGGCATGCGCTGTCTTCTCCGGACAGACTAGACGACGTGGATGAGCAGGCAGCTTCGGCGGTATTCCATCACCAATTGACGTACTCGCGAGACGATGTCAGCAGAGCACCGCGTGATAGTCACGGCACCACCACCAACACTCACTCAACGCACAGCAGCTTGTGCACGCAACGGACGCACCCGACGCAGCTTGGATATCCATCGCAATGGAATCACCCCGTCCAGATCGTGCACGCACCGACGCCAACCAAGGCCGAGCATTCTCCCATTGATTGCGGAGAAAGCGTGTCAAGCCGGCACACGAGGACGTCCAAGGCCTCGAGGCGGACGGAAAAGAGCATTCGGGATGCTGATTTGCAAGAGAAAAGTGTGCTGATGCTCTCCTCCGACTCGGAGGAAGACGAAGATGATCGGGACAGTGCGCAGTCGCCAAGAAAACTGGCCTCATCGTCTTCCGTACACACGGCGCCCTCCTTGACTGGGAGTGGCCAAACGGGAACCGACGACTTGGAGGCTGACGATGCGCTCTATCCAGGCGGATTGCAGCCGGAACCGACAAGAAAACGCGTGAGCAGAGCACCAGCCGGATTCCTTACAATTCCCTCTCAGCCCTTGAATAAGTCGCCTTCACCCCCCATGTCGACGCCATCTACGGGCGATCCTCGAATGAGCTGGGCTGAGCCCCTCAGCCTAGCTAATTCCAACTCCACTGCGTCACTTTCCACCACGGCCTCGAGCGGAGGCACTGCTATGGTACAGGAAGCCCGGGCCGTGACTCTTGTCCCAGCACAAGGGCCGGAGCCTGCATCCGACGAAGAGTCTGACCTGGAGTACGACCGGCCGCAACACGTAATGCGCGACTCGATACTCCCAAGCAAGACATTCGAGCCACAACCTTTGAGTCCCTCGTCCATGGAGTTTTATATACAGTCTCCCAGGTCGGGCGACTCGGATGAGCACTTTATGGGGTTGACGCGCCAGGAGCAGATGCTCATCCAGGCACTGCGACACAGGCGGGAAACGAGGCGCCAACTACACGAGGCCGGCGGCGCCACGCAGGACAACTCGCGCGCACACTGGCGGCAGTCAAGCAAAGGACATCGGTCAAATACATCCGAGGCGACCATTACGGAATCCACACTGAACTTTGATTTTCCCGCGCCACCTAGCCACAAGGACAATGGGTTGGCTGGGATCATGAACAGGATACAGCAGGATCCGATGGAAGATCAGCCCTCGAATTCGCGCACAACAGATGGTAAGGGCTTTGCCTTGTCACCACCGCCGCCTTCTTCCCGGCGGTCTGCAACCAGCCCGGCCAGCAACACCACACCGGGACTCGAGCCCACCGCCAAGCTAGACGTTGGGGCCATCCTCGAGGCAAGAACCTACAAATCCGAGGAGTACCTCAAGGCTCGCGCCTGCACGGGCCAGAACCCGCAGTCTCCACGGGATAAATTCCGTCGTCAGCGTTTGCCTGCGGATCGAAGACGCGCGGCCAAGGAGCAGCTTGATACGCCGACCACATCTACCGATCGCCGACCTGCTGTAGCCGATGGGAAACCCTCTTCGTCGCAGCGTGTCCAACCCGACCAAGGCACCGACATGCCCCGTCCCGATAGCCCTATCTCCCCAGATGCTTTCCCCTCTGTCCCAGGACGACGCAGGACATTGAACAGTCAAAGTGTGCGGCTGAGCGCGTTCGGACCGCCCGCGCCAGCCAACGGCGAGATGGGCTGGTGGGGAGACGAAGATTGATGTTGCTTCTCAAGCGACAAAAAGAGTCGCATTTCTCTTGTATATATTCGATATCTCTTTTTTCTTTTCTTTTTCTCGCTCTCTCTGCTACGGCTGCGCTTTGTACGACGAACGATACATCTCGGGTAACGGGAAAGACATTAATATCTGGTTGACAAAGGCCAGTTCTTGGCCACAAGGCCCCCGGAGTTCCCCTTTGTTTACATACATATACATCAGCGTCGAGTTATTTGGCCACATGGTTATTTTGGGCAGGGCATGGGGAGGGTCGGGACAGTTCCCACTAGCGGGACATGACATTTGCTATGCATGAACTAGGTGTAATCGATCAGGCAAACGAAATGGATGATCAGCTAATACCACGCGCAGTTGTGTGCTTCCAATTTCATCCCCCCTCTGTCAATGCCGGGTCCTAACCTATGATTCTGCTCCACCAAGTCATGAACGCATGCCGTCGTAAACAATGTGCGATACCGAGCCATCCCCCCCAATCATTCGTACGTCGAGCCCTCGGGGGGTTGTGGGAGCTTCTTGTTCGCAGGGGCGGCCATGTACCGCCGCAACTCGATCAGGATCGTCTCCATGGTGTTCTCCCGCTTCCACTGCGCCAGGCACGGCAGCATCTTGGGGTCGACGACGCCGTTGCGCGGGTTCACGGCGGGCAGGTTGATCTGAGAGATGAACTGGATGGTGGGCGGCTGGTCGGGGTACGCGTCGCCGCAGTGCATCTTGAGGGAGTAGATGCGGTTCTCGTGGACGCTCTGGTGTGCGGGTTAGCATGGTCGGCCTATGAAAGGTCGGGCGGACGTACGTGGGGAGGACCAAGGATCGTGCCGTTCCAGTTGCTCATGAGGAGATCCTCAGAGTCCTCGAGACCATAGCTGCATGCTTCCGCGCCGAGACCCTTCTCGCCCTTCTCGAGCTCCTCCAAGAGGCGAAAGTTGCGGGGAATCTTGGCCATGGCGCTGGTCTCGCTTGTGCTTTGGGCTGACAACTGTGGTTGCAGATTGTAACGGCGATCAGACAGCTGAAAGCGAGCGGATGAGTGTTTCGTGATCTGGTGATCCCCTTGTGAGTTGGGCGCTACATACAGTGATGGCGGGGCAGCGAACGAGCAGCTATGGAATTACTCGCGTGGCTCACATCCGCTCCAGCTCCAGTCCAGTCCACTGCACTGGCAACCCAGTCGTGTGACGTGCAATAATCGGGGCGGCTAAGCCTCGGCTATGCCCGAGCTCCTTGCAGCTTCCCCCAGATGGACCGTGGACGAGCCTGCGTCATCTGAGATCTCCAAATCCCCTGTTGTATGCTCTGCATCGTGCGACACGTTTGCGCTGCCGCCTAGTTCCCCTATCTTGAAGGTTCTCCAAGACGCCAGACCATTTGACCAAGAGAGTGACGGGGACAACTCGAGATGGCGTCTGCATTGACGCGCGCAAGCCTCCGGGCACCGCTCACCCGACCGCAAGCAAGCAGCCTGCTGGCCTCCAGTCGGTTGTTCAGTATATCTTCAAACTCGAGTCTGCCCTCCAATAGCTCGTCGTCAGCCTCCAACTTTGGCATTGGGTCCGGGCCCTTGCCGACATACTTTCAGAAACCCCGTCTGCCAGCCAACACCATTGTCCGATTCGTCCCGCAACAAACAGCATGGATTGTTGAGCGCATGGGCAAGTTCAACCGCATTCTGGATCCGGGTTTGTCGGTCCTAGTGCCGTTCATCGACCGCATCGCCTATGTCAAGAGTCTGAAGGAGGCGGCGATTGAGATCCCAAAGCAGAGCGCCATCACGGCCGACAATGTCACCCTGGAGCTCGATGGTGTGCTGTTCACGCGGGTCTTTGACGCATACAAGGCGAGGTAGGCGCTCGGTTTACACTGAAGGCCCGGGAATGTGTTGCTGACCAAGCTAGCTATGGTGTGGAGGACGCCGAGTACGCCATCTCCCAACTCGCACAGACTACGATGCGCTCCGAAATCGGTCAGCTCACACTCGACCACGTCCTGAAGGAGCGTGCCGCGCTCAACACCAACATCACCGCCGCCATCAATGACGCTGCCGAGGCGTGGGGCGTCACGTGCCTCCGCTACGAGATCCGCGATATCCACGCGCCCGCCGCCGTCGTCGAGGCCATGCACCGCCAAGTCACCGCCGAGCGATCGAAGCGTGCCGAGATTCTGGACTCGGAGGGTCAACGGCAGAGTGCGATCAACATCGCCGAGGGTAAAAAGCAGAGTGTGATCCTGGCGTCCGAGGCGCTGAGATCCGAGAGGATCAACACGGCCGACGGTGAGGCCGAGGCGATCCGGCTCAAGGCCATGGCCACGGCGCAAGGTATCGAAGCGGTTGCCAAGAGCATCACGGACGGAAAGGCGGGCGCCCAGAGCGCCATGAGCTTGAACGTCGCGGAGAAGTACGTCGACGCATTCGGCAAGCTGGCCAAGGAGGGCACCGCGGTTGTCGTCCCCGGGAATGTTGGTGACATTGGTGGCATGATTGCTTCAGGGCTTAGTGTCTATGGCAAGGTGAACGAAGCACAGGCTAAGGCGCTGGCGAGGAGGTCCATTGAGCCCAACAGCGACGAGAGCAACGAGGCGACAGCGGGTGAGACCTCAGTGGGGGATCACAAGAAGCAGATGAAGGATACCGTCCTGGAGGGGTTCAATGAGACTGCCGGTAGTCGGTAGCTATGTTTGAGGAAACGAAAAAGTTTGCCGGGCGGCACGGCGTTTAACCATGTATCAATAGGGGGGGGCATCACTTCGTCTGCAGCGCAACGAGGGCGCACGAGGCACGTTACTTGTCTTTATTGTACATATCAATACCAAGCTAACACCTTAGCTATGGGTGCAGATATATTTGCGTGCATTGCTGGAAAAGTGAGCCAGCGCACATGGCTTTGTACAATGTCTAATGACGCCCACATTTCACCATTAATCAGATACGGAATGTTTCTTTGATCATTGTACCCACAACTTCCTCGCATGCGAAAATCACTTTGAGCTGCTCGTCTTTCTTCGCGTTCAGAGAGACGACCATCTCTTTACCGCCGCCCAACTTCTTGGTGCTTCCTCTCCAGAACCAGATCAGGCGTCCGTCCTCACCCTCGATGACGAGCGTCGTCCACGGTCGTGCCTTTTTCCACTGAGGCATTTTCTCATTGTCGTATGAGATCAAAATCCTCACTATCCAATTGTTATCGCCCTCTCGCCCTCTTGGCACAACGTCTAGCTTGAGATTCAACAGCGGGAAGCAAGCCACAGCGCGGAGTATCTGCTGGCCGAAGGGTGGATTACGGCTCAATAGCCTCTCAATATGGAAAAATTCCATCCCTGACAATTGAAGGATGTTCCGTATACCTGCCTTGGTCAGTTTCGCAGCACGAGCAGGGCCGATTCCCTCGACCTGGAGCAAGTCCTGACCGTTGCCCTCCCAAACTCCTGCCTTGATGCTCCGTAGAACGTCCAGTCCCGTGCTCACACCATGACCATCCATTCTCTGGCCAAGAATGTCGACGACGCAACGCAAGCACTTTTCGAGGATGTTGTAGATCCGGCCTCTCTCTCTGTAGAGTTCCTTCCTGGCCGCAGCGCTGAGCTTGCTGGGCCAGCCATCGTTCATGAGATCGATTTGTACCAGGAGAAACACCTTGTGCCATGGCTGTGAGACGGCTTCGCGGATGAGGTAGGGTATGGGCTTGGTCTCGTTGATTGTTCTGAAGAAGGCCTTTTCGCCGGCGTGGATGGGGAAGGACCCAAACTCAGTGGCTTGGGAGGCTGTCTGAAGGATGGCCCGGCGATCTGGTGACGCAGGGATGGCGGAGAGAATGGAGAAGGTCGGGGTGGAGAGCTTGTAGCGCAGCTGGAGAGTCGCAGGGTCTGGCGCTGCGGGCTTTTGCTGGAGTTTGGGCGTTGGTCGAGGTGGTGGCAGCATAGTCGACGAGAAGAGATCGGGCATGGTATCGAACGGATTCAAAGCTCAGTGATCACGGCTTGAACGTAACGGCTGCAATGACCCCGTGAAGACATGGTTGGTAGATGCAGTAAGGTACCTTATAGTGTCGTTGTGTCCTGCCAGTTTGGTGCTCAGATGCTCTTTCCGTCCTTGCCTTTGCGACCTTCGATGGCAGGTACGCGGTCAAATCCACGTCTTGCACTTTTCAAGATCATCGTACCTATTTTCTGAACCATCCTCGTACTTGAACTGGTCTTTGCAAAATAAGTTGACAATAGCCATCTTGAAGCTGCGCCAGACTCGTGGCATCGGGCAGGCTGATCAAAGTCAGCAGATCCCTGTTCTCTCTGAGTTTTTTCACATTGTTGGGCAGCAGCTGTTCCTTCTATATTTTTAAGCTCTCTCTGGAAAGGAACGAGACACCTAGTGACCATATTCGCGCGCAACTATACTTCCAAGTCCAGACAACGGGTGCAAGTACATGTTCATGCCAGTGTCCTTGTATTCGCGAATATTGTTCATGACAGTTGCATATCTTACAGGCTCTGTTCGTCCATTCCATAAAAAACATCTAGCTGCTATTTCCCGTTGCGACACCCCAGAAGTAAGCGCACCAACCACAAAGAACCAGTGCGATCAGGGCACCGAAGCAAATCAGCGATGTCCTCATATTCGTGGCCTTGTTGAGCCCGAAGAAGAGATCTCTGCGCTCATTGAGTTCCACACCACGGGCAATGCGCTTCGAGCGACTCCATTGCAAATGCCGCAAGTCAACCGACTTCCAAGAGATCAGGGTAAGGCCCAGCGACACAACTACAGAGCACCCCGCGAGAATGACGTAGACAATGGTCACCTTGTTATACGAGTTGTTGTCGGCATCCTGGATTCTACCTGTGACCACCCGAACGATGATGTTCATGCTAAGGTACCTATGTCAGTCGAGATCACGCCTCTCTGGTTCGCTTCACTCACGCGTTGTTCATGGTGATCTTGGCGGCATAGGCCGAACCAAATACCGTGTTGTCCCACATGGAGGTACGGATGCTGTCTATGATGGTCGTAGGTCCAAAGCAGTGCGAAATGGCAAAGATGCCGAAGGAGGCAGCTGTGCCTTTCACGTTGCCGCTGAAGCAGACCAAAAGCATGGATGCAAAAATGCCGACGCCGCAAATGAACACTACAGAATGTGAGCAAGTCGAAAGATGAGAATGCTGACCACGAGTGAACTTACAAGCTGAGATACGCTGGCCGAAAAGGTCAAGGAACACCCCCAACAGAGGAACCACGAAGAAGCCAGCGTACTGGGTGACGGCGCTGTACCATCCTGCGGTGATGGAGTTGGTGCTAAATCTTTGCTCGGCGAGCTCGGTTGCGTTCTGCAGAAAGACGACAGCCGTGCTCGTCTGGAACAGAGAAAAGGCCAGGACGGTCCAGAATGACCAGGGAAGTTGCAAGACCTTTTTGAAGTGAAGCGTCTTGCTCTTCTCCTGGAGCTTCTCGCCCGTCGCAGGGTCATTGATGCCGTGGTACTTGCGGTTGGCAAGCCTTGTAAACCAGTAGAACACCCCCGTCATGACTTTGGTGAAGAGGTTCATGAACACGGCGACCCAGAAAACCCAGGCGAAGTCACCAGTTCGCTCGGCAATAATGTTGGCGGACGCCTTGCCGGCAAATGCGCCAATCTTCCCGATGCCGAGCTCGAACCCCAGCGTGGAGGCGAAGCCGTTGTTGGGGGCAAACCAGGACGAGAAGACCTTGTACTGGGCAACCTGCGTTGCAATGTCGCCTAAAGCGCTGATGACACGCCCACCAATCATGAATTTGTAGTTGCGTGTCTGGGCAGCGGCAGCGACGAGGATGGAGCCGACTGAGTAGATGGCATTGCCATACAACATGGCACCTGGGATCATGTCAGTCCACCACGTTTCGGCCAACGAGATAACTTCAAGACTGACCTGCTCCGCCGATTCTATCGGTGACGACGCCACTCAGCATCATCAGCGCCGTGACCATAAAGTCCTCGCTCGCCTCGAGGATCGAGAACTGAGTGTTGTCGATGTTCAACTCCTTCTTCATGGTGCTTTTCATGGCACCAGTGATACCGGAGCTCCATTTTGAGCCGAACCCGATGAAGGTGACGAGCACAACTGACACGAGTTTCCACGACAGAGGGACAGGCTTCGTCGCACGCTGACTGCTCGTGTCCGAGTTGGATGAGTCGACTTCAGCCACGGCAGTATTTTTGTGGCCATTCTCGACATGCGTCTTTTTGTTTGCCTCGGCCTCCGCCGGCATGAACACTGGATCGTGAGCCATTCTAGAGTAGCAAGGCGAGTTAGACAGGAGGAGGGAGATGTAGGAGAGAGAGTAGAGAACATGAGGTTCTTGGATTCTTACCCGGGAAACCGCCTATCTTTATTTATTTTACTCTTTTTCCAGCGACCCGGCATCGCAGTCCCGACAGATTGATAAGATTCGGAGGCCCATCTCGAGGGAGGTGGGTCTGATCAGATCGATTAGATGGACACAACATTCGACATGGCGTGGCAGCCGAGACGAATTGGCCAGTCAAGACGCTCGAGGGGAGCCGAGACGTCTTTCCGATGACGGGCGAGTTTCTTTTTTCCGGCGATATGGGCTGTTTCCTGCCTTGGCGAAGAGCTCGGTGCGGCTAGCATGAGCAGAAATGGGCCAAAAGGGGGACGAGGCGTCCCGAAAAAGTCTCACGCCGAAATTTTTCACAGTGAAAATTCGGGTAGATGCAACAACCCTGTCAATTGCGGCAGCTGTCAGGCGGCGCAGGGTTCACGGCTCCACGCACGCATACGTACGTAGCTGCGGCGGCACTCGTGGCTTGGGAACTTCTTCACATGAGCTGATTGAGCTAAATGTGAGGGACACAGGCCAACTTATTGACCCCTTCAGAGCTTCTTGTTCTAGTATGCATTGCTGGCTTATCTAGAGTTAATTCAGACTCATTTGTCAAACTCGGGCGTCGTATGCGTCCCCATCTGGGGCTCTGCATCAGCCACAGGCCATAAGATATCAGGTTTGCCTCCCGGCTGCATCATTTGCAACGACCAACCTTGCAATCGGTAGACGTCTGCAGCAATCCACTGAAGCCACAGTGTGGTCACGGTTGGTAGCCAGAACTCACAGACAACCTGTTTGAGAATCTCCAACCCCATGCCCCATGCTCGTCGTCCACTGTGTGTGTCTCCCGTCAAAAGGTGTGCGTGAGCTAGTGACAGATGTATCACGGCTGTCGGGAAACTAGTGAGAGTGTGCATATCGACAACCTTCCGGAGAAGAGCCTGCCAGCACGCAACAGCCTCTTCAGGCGTGCCACTCACATGGGTTATCCGGCCAGAAGCTACGAGCCGACGTATATGAAGCTGCTGGTCGTGGATGTCGTCGAGGTCCTTGGGTTCGGTGCTTGCGAGCTCATCCAGCATGGATTGTGCGTGCACTATCCAACCCAGTCCGATGTTGGCCTCGACGCCGGCGAGAAGCAATCTCGCAAACCAGCGTCGGGACCGGTCCGGTGGAGCAGTCTGGTCAATCTCGTCCTGCAAGAGATCGAGCGCCTTGTCGTACTCCTTCATCTCACAGTGCACGTCAGCCAACCTCCCCACAAGCAGTCGCCGCGTGTTTGACCGCAGTGGCTTCGCGCTGCCCAGTGACAAGAACTGGCTCAAGGACTCGCGAGCTGCTGAGAAGTCTCCAATGGACTGAAAATATCGCGCTGCTGTACTCTGCAGCCGGAATGTCACTTCTGTGTCAAGGCTGGACGGTGGTTGTTGGGCTTCCCACTTGTATATCCACGCCGCAACGTCCTTGTCGTAGAATTTGATCTTGGTTTCGACGAGTGATACATGGAGACGTCCAAGAAGACCATGATCGCGCCTCGTGGCTGGTCTGGGCCCTATCCTGTTGAAGTCACGAATGATGCTTTCCGACTTGACGAATTCGCCGTCGATACGGAGCAGTGTGCTTTGGAACAGGATCACGGACGCGTGCAGATGGTACGACATTGATTTTCGCAGCAATGATTTGGCCAGGGCAACAGACGACTGACGGATCGGGACAGAGTCCCGCTCGGCAAAGTAGAGGACGGCTTCGGCAGCCTGGCTGCGGAGAGGGACTGCGATCTTGCGGGTGGTGATAGCCCTCTCTACCACGGGCCACATCAAGTCTTTCAGAGGGACAGACCTATGCCACTTCAGTATTGCTACTCACGTTCTAGGGTAGACAAGGCAACTCGTACCATTCCAGGTTGCCTTCGAGACAAGGTGGGCAAACGTAGCACAACAATTTCTGGGCCATCTTGCCGATATGCTCGACTGTAGTGGGAGCAAGTGCATTGCCGAGTCTGCACTTGGTCTCGGGAGATATTGAGAACAACAAAACGCCCTCTTCAGTGGTCTTTTGTTCTACGTCGGGTTGTAACAGCGCGCACGATAGGCTCTCGTCATCTGATGCTAGGCTCAGAAGTTCTGCCGGGAGACCAAAGTCGAGTGCACTGGTATTCTCCATTTCCCCGTCATCATTCCATCGTTTTTGTGGTTTCTGAAGACTTGTAAAGATCACCTGTGGGATGTCCGTCCCACCGAGTGCGTGCAGGAGCAGCAGCAGAAGATCCGAAGAAGGCAATACTTGTGGATAGTCCACGACGATGTTATAGTATGACAGTGGGGAGGATATATCTGGGTGAATAGTGTTAGTGTGGCGCGATAGGAGATATTTTGCTTCCAGTGTCGTCACCTTTAAGGTCTTGTAGAATGAGTTCCTGGATCAACTTTGTGTATTTCTGCCCGTTGGGCGGTCTCGCTGATTCCAGTTGGCCAAGAACCTCGACGTCTTCGACTTGCAGGTATCTCTCATAACTAGCAAATGTTAGCATCCAAATTATGCGCGCGCTCATGTGTTCTGACTCACGTTGAATAGGGGATACTCAAGGGCAGCCACAGGATGCTCCCCAGACTGCCAAGCTTTCTGGCAATCTTGATATACTTCCTGCCCGCATTGCGCAATTCGGTATACCTGCATTGTCCTTTCAATAGATTGGAAATTTGAGGCGGTATGAATGCGTCTTGTTCTAGTGTAGACTTCAGAAAGATGACAACGCATGCAACACGACGTTGAAAGTCATGCACCACGTTGTTCTGGCCCCTTTTTATCCAAAAGCCTTCAATGTCTCCTTGTAAACACTCGTCTAGAGCATCCGCAGGCGTTGCAGTCGAGCTATTGAGTGACAAAGCTTTGGAAGTTCTATCACTGCTTGGAGTGACTCTGTACTGTATTTTGCGTGAAAGGCCTTTCGACTTTGCCAAAAGTGTACGTATATCGCTGAGGTGAGCGTTCAGGGTAGCCGCGAGCTCAAGGGCACGGGTCTCATTTGGGTGACGAGCGAGCGTGTGGATCGTGCTGCAGAGACAGACGGCCATTGTCGGTGTGTGGTAACGTGTAACTGATCATAAGCTTGGGCACTGGAGAACAAGGATATGAATCTTGACCCCGGGGATAGTCGCGCATGCGGCGAGATTTCATCGAGGCGTGCCTCGCGCGGTTTCACGGAGTCGGAGGTGAGCAGTTTTTATCTGATCTCAGTGGATCCGATTCCTCACTGGCATTGGCAATTATTATTATGGGCCTTCCGGCGGTCGAATTATCTGATCCGGAGGGACTCTTGCTCATTCGCTTCCCATCACAAATCCACAACCACCAACATTTCGAGCTTGCATTCAAACGACCATGGCAACTCGCACCTCGATTATTGAGAGCTTCTGCTCCAGGACTAGATGGCGTGTGGCAGCTGGCGCAAATCGTGACGTGGAGGGCAGTCTCGACTTTCTTGTCTCGCCTGTCACCTCTCCTTCCGATCACAAATGCGAACATGCGCGGCAGGGGCGGTGTACTCCCATATCGCATGGCCCCCGGATCAGGCGTTTGAATTCTTGCAGCCTGTAGCTATTGTAACAAGTGTTGGGCTGGCAACTGGTACAGTCCAGGTTTCTCTAGCCCAAGTATCTGGCAGTGTGGAATTCACTCAGTGGTCCTGTGCACAAGAGAAGTGCTAAAGTCACTTGTCCGCCCGGATATGCTCAAATTGGGCACAGAAACATCACATGATTCGATGTGTACAAGTACGGTACCAAGGCAAGTACTAATAACGTGCCTAGCAGCTGGCCGCTCGCGACTTCTGCTTGTGCACGATGGCAGGTAGGCGGTGCCTTCCTGTTGTTGTCGCCTACAAGTGCCTTGTTTACGAAACGCTGCCCATCTCGACCATGACGATGACTCCCTGTCCTTTCACCACATCCTGACTCTCATCTTTCGCCTAGCATCTCGTTCACTACAACTATTTCTATCAATAAGCTATTCCTAATCGACCATCTGTCCAACCACAATATCACCATGAGCTGTCCCTCGCGCTCTGGCTGCTGCCACATTGTCCCTCCACATCTTCTCCGGGCCATTGCCAATTCAGACGAGGTCTCCGAAACAACTAGACAAGCTGCAAAGACCTCCCTCGCCTCACACGACAAGTACGCTTCCAAGCGCAAAGAGGGTTTCGAGCGACTCGCTCGCCCCAGTGGCCGCAAGACGACTCAGGAGTCCCGTTCTCGCCGCAGGAGCATCGTTCCCGATACGCTACTTCGACATCTTGCCCATTCCTCTCACGTCGATGATGACACACGCGCCCGAGCGAAACGTGACCTCGATCACCTCACGCGGGTCTTGCAGAGCGTTGGCACTGCCCAACCCTCCGAGAAGGTGTCACTCTCAGATGACCAAAGCAATGACCCCAAATTCCATCCATCCCGTGCTGTTTACGACGCTGAGAACAACTTCAATGAGAGTCAACTTCCCGGGAAGCTCGTCCGCTCCGAGGGCGAGCAAAGCGTCGGGGATGAGGCTGTCGACGATGCGTACAAGAACATCGGCACGGTGCTCGACTTCTACAAAGAGCACTTCAACTGGAAATCAATCGACGACCAGAACGCGGATGTGATCAGCACCGTGCACTTTGGCGAAAGTTATGAAAATGCCTGTAAGTGAGACCCTCCTGGATGCTTTCCTCAAGTCGATCAAGCTCACCACTCTAGTCTGGGATCCCGAGCACATGCAGATGGTCTTTGGCGATGGCGACGAGTTTCTGAACAATTTCACCGGGTGTATAGATGTCATCGGGCACGAGCTGACACACGCTATCACAGAGCATACGGCACCCTTGAATTACTGGGGGATGTCAGGTGCTCTCAATGAGCATATATCCGATGTGTTTGGCATCATGGTGAAGCAGAAAGTTCAGAACGAGACAGCTGCCAACGCAGATTGGCTGATCGGAGAGGACTGTATCCTGCCCGGCGTCAAGGGTGTAGCACTCAGGAGTATGAAGGCACCAGGGACGGCATACAATGACGCACGATTTGTAAGTGATCAAGTTTGGAGAGCAGCAACCGACGATGCTAATGCTGCCCGCCACAGGGAAAAGATCCACAAGTCGGACACATGAAGTCCTGGTACACCATGGTCGATGACAATGGTGGCGTTCACGTCTTCTCAGGCATCCCAAACAAAGCATTCCAGCTTGCTGCTGTCTCCTTTGGGGGGTACTCATGGGAGAAGGCCGGTCAAATCTGGTGGAAAACCATGAACAGCGGCCGGATCCCCCAGAACTGCACCTTCAGACAGTTCGCAGACGTGACCATTGAGGTAGCTAAGGATTTTGGGCTGGGTGCGCCAGACAAGGTGAAGAAAGCCTGGGCGGCCGTGGGCGTGATGGACCAGGTGCGAGGGCCAGGCGGGTGCACCGCCCTGTAAAGGGTCGAGCCGGATCGTAAACCTATGATAGAAGTCCTCCTATAGAACCTACAAGATATCACATTGAGAAGACATCATGGCACCCGAAATACTGTATTTACAGCTGCTCGCTTGCCGCTAGCAGACACTATGTACCTGAATGGAGCCCACAGGATGACGGGAAACATGTTAGCCTGACTATAGTGGCCCATCATCCAGAGCTCCATCGCCCTGCCTTGCTTCACTCCTTGAACACACTTACTCCCAGGTGAGGGTGGCGCCGGCACCAGCGAGGACAGACTCGAGGTTGTCGCTCCCAGCGAGCTGGTAAGTGTAGGGCAGATCGCTGCCGGAGAGGGTGCCCTCGGCCACGTCGTAGGAGGCGCCGCCCAGGTCGACGTCGTTGACGACGACGTAGCCAGTCTCGTCCGAGTAGCGGAAGACGATGGGATCTTCGGTGTCGGTAAAGGTGGTGGACTCGACGAGGACCTGGGCGCCGAGGCGGGTGTTGATGGCCGAGTCAATCATGTTCTCGTAGGCGTTGTTGTAGATGTGGGCGGTGCCGAAGCGGACCGAGGGCCCGCGGGAGTTGATGTTGGACCAGCGGTTGTTGGCGTAGGTGACGGTGAGGTGACCCTCGTCCTCGTTGGCGTTGGAGTCGGAGTGGCCGACGAGGGAGCCCTTCCAGTGGTCGTGGATGAGGGAGTTGGAGAGGGTGATCCAGTCGGCGGCGTGCGTGACGTCAAAGAGGCCGTCGTAGTCGTCCTTGCCGACGTTGAGGTCGCCGGAGAGGTCGACGTGGTCGACCCAGACGTTTGTGCTGCGGTCGATGCCAATGGCGTCGCCGTCGTCGGCGTCGACCTTGGCAATGGCCAGGTTGCGGATAATGACGTTGCTCACGCGACGGACGTAGAAGCCGATGCCGGTGAGGGAGGCGCCGCCCGAGGCGCCGACAATGGTCTTGTCGGAGCTGGGGCGGATGCGGCCGGGCCCCGTGAGGTCGCCCTGGACGACGATGACGGCGGGACCGTCGGCGGACGCGGCCTCGGAGAAGGAGGCGAAGTCGGTGACGGTGGTGGTGGTGCCGCCCGCGCCGCCGGTCGTGCCCCCGTTGGAGGAGGCGAAGCCAATGTTGGCGGCGTCGGTGATGGAGGCGCGCTTCTGGATGGTGCGCTTGTCGGACTTGTCGACGGTGGGTGTGGGTGAGGCGAGGGCGAGGCCGAGGAGAGCGGCGAGGGCGAAAGACTTCATGTTGCTTGGAAGGGAATGGAGCCTGTCCAGGGGTGTATGAATGTGCAGTTGTCCAAGAAGGCTGTAAGAGTCGGTCTTGTGATGAGGATCGAGAATGGAGTCTTAGGTCAAGGGTGACACTGGCGAACTTATATACACGCTGGTAACGCGATCGATCTGGTCATTGAGATGATCCAGCTGTTGGAGAGCGCCGTCGGTCGTGTCTGCTGCCACTGATCCCCATGGCACTTCAACCATTGACGGGAAGAAGTCAGTCGCACGAATGGGATAATCTCCTCAGAGCCGCTGGAGTATTCGTGTGCGCATCGCAAAACGGTTCGAAACAGGGTACTGCCCTGCCAGGTACTCACTCGACTCAGTGGTACGGGGAATGAGCACCGAGGCTGCTGCTACGCTGCCCGCGATGGACGCGTGGATGTGGTGTTTCCATGAATCATAACTCATCTCCAGGGCATAGATGAGGATAGGATCGTCATCGCGAGCGGCTCGCCTTTCAAGATGTGACGGACTGCGAGAAAGAATGAATCTGGGCGTCTCGGAGGGAGACAGAATTACCTGATTAGGCAACGGGGCCATGGGATCTTGGTTGCAGGACGGCAATGCACGACAAGTTGAGGAGCGCAGGGGTCTGTCGAGGCTTGGTTCGACTGTCGTCTGCCGCTGTCCGGGGGGCAGAGTGTCACTCTCTCACTCCAGGGCAGGGGTAGGATGGGAACGATTCATTGGCGGAATATCCAGGTCGAAGAGCTGTCCGTCTTGCTTTCGGCTTCTTGTGTATGCTTCGTTTTTGTTGCTCATAAGCATCTTCCACTGGCAATGTCAGCGTTGCAACTCTGTCAGCCAACTGCGTGGTGACGGACAAGCAGAGGAACAAGCAAGCTCTACATGCACCTCGTATGGGCGCCCGAGCTGTTCTATGCACCCAGAAGGTGAGCGCACCAAGGACATCTTGAGAGAGGAGACATCCCCGTCCCCTACAACCTGGGGTAGGTAGCGGGGAGTCGGGGACACCGCATCACGTGGCAGCACAATGGCGACGGGGATCGACCGCAGGTCTTTGCTTACATATACATGTACATGCAGCCAGATGCTGCCGCCTGTTCTATGGGTGTGCCAATTCTGGGGTGCGTCTTTTTCCCGTCAATGGAATGATGCCAAGTCAACGAGACATCAAGGACCTCCTTGTTCTGGTTCCTTCACAGACGACATGGGCGTTTGGTGAACACTGTGTTTGTATTTACATGTATGAAGCGAAAAGTAATTTAGTGATATACACAATTGCGCATCCTCGCACGCGTGACGGTCTAGTAGACAACGGGCCAGCCGTTCTCGTACCTCATCAGGTTGAGGCCGATCTGCGCATCACCGTTCGGCTGGTAGTAGTGGTACACCAGCACATCCGCATCATTGTCGGTGAACACAGCAGGGTGGCCGGGTCCGTAGATGTTGCCGTGGGTCCTCAGGATCTCGGTGCCGCCGCCGTTCATCATGTCGACCCCGTTCCGGTCGACGAAGGGTCCCGTCACGCTCCTCGAGCGCCCGACCATGGTGCGGTACGTGCTGGCGGCGCCGTTGCAGCAGCGGTCAAAGGACAGCCAGAGGTAGTAGTAGTCGCCGTGGCGGTGGATGTACGGGGCCTCGAGCTCGCCGCCGTTGGCGGGGCGCGCGGCGATGGAGCGGAGGTTGTTGTCGGAGCGCATGCCTGTGTTGGGGTCGAGGGCGACGATCTTGATGCCGGACCAGAAGGAGCCAAAGGTCATCCACCAGCGACCCTGCGCGTCGACGATGAGGTTGGGGTCGATGCAGTTGTAGTTGCTGTTGCCGTTGGACTCGATGACGAGGCCTCGGTTCGTCCACGAGCCTGGCTGGCCCGTCGGGCTGGTGGCGAGGAAGATGGCGGACACGGACGAGCCGAAGCTCGAGGCCGAGTAGTACAGGTAGTACTGGCCGTTGTGGTACGAGATGTCGGGGGCCCAGAGGTTGCGGTCGCCCTTTGTGTAGTGGGTCGTCCAGGGGGCGCCGTTGGGGAAGGCGGGACCGACGTCGTGCCAGGCTGTGCGGTCCGTCGATGTCTTGAGGCCTACATTGTCCGCCGTGAAGGCCATGATGTACGAGCCATCGGGCTTCTTGACGATCGTGGGGTCGTGGGTGAAGGTGTCGCCGGAGACGACGCCGGGCCCGACAGACTGGCCGTGGGCGAATGGCGCAATGGCAGCCACGGCGAGAAGGGTCTGGGTGAGGATGCTGCGGAGTGACAGCATGTTGGCGTTTGGATCAGGGATCAGGAGCTTGGGGTGGTTGGGATGGACAGTCTGAGCAGATGGACTTTGGCTCGCGGAGGGCGCGTCCTTATATAAAAAATCCCATCGCATCGCATGCATGCCCGTTTCTCCAGACTCATGCAATAATCATAGCTACCTTGGTTTTGGATGAAATTTGCAGTGTCGTTGCGATGCTCGTGTCGCGTGGTTGGTCCACTGCGATGAAACGCTGTCGTTAAGCGCGCCACAAACGACCCATGGCGCCCCGTCTCGTTTGACACGCGAGGTTCTCTTTTGATGCCAAGTACGTAGATGACGGAGGCTCTCGTACCGTTTGGAGCTTCGCATATCGCCTGTTGACCTCTCCGAAGAACATGAGTAGACGCGCTCGAATCAAGAGCGCGAGGAACGCAGTACGTAGCTAGAAAGGTAGGACAAAGCAGGATTATTTTCACCTACTTTTTTTTTTTTTGGCCTCGACGCATCTGGTCATGTTCTTGGTATATGGTGGGTGGCTAGGTCAATCAATGTACGTACGTACCATTGGCGACGAGCATCAAACGAGCTCCTGAGACTTGGCGAACTCGTGGCGTGGCGTGGCCGTGTCGCAGGACACGTTGAACAGATTGTGGCACGTCCCTCTTTTGCCAAGCCTTGCGAGTCCACATTCTGATACTCCTTTCATTTGGAAGTGGGAATGTTTGGTCGGAAACTGGCATTATGAAACATGAGCGTGCCGGATTAATGAAGTCTCGCACGCGTCGGACTCGGCCGTATCCAGGGGTATGGCGCTACGGCGAAAGGAGCTTAGAGTGTGGGGTAGCATGAAGTATGGGTCCGGCAAATTGCTGTCGGCAGGTAATAACCCGCGTCACCCTCCGGTGAGCTCTGAGCGAGCCGTTCTTGTCTGCATGTACGTACTCTGTACGTATCCGTAGATTGCAATGGAATGCTCAACTCTTCGAGCCCTCGCCTCTCCAAGTGCGTGGTAGCACCAACAATCATCCGTTGGGACAAGGCGACAGATCGGAAGAATGAAGAATGGATGTAATGTAATGCTGGCTCAAAATCGATGGAAGACACTTCATTATGCCCGGGACTGCACTTTCCCAAGATAGTCTTCGACTCACTGTACGAGAGATCGGGCATCGCCGAGCGCGGCCCCTTGGGTAATTCGGCTTGTCGCGAATAAGGTGGACTCAAACCATGCCCCCCGGGTGACCAGTTGTAGCTAAAGAGGTGATTCGCGTCCTCCTCCCGGCCGGATGGCATGTCCTTGACGGCGATGGAGTAGTCGTGCCACTCATCCTTGGGCCAAGGTGAAGTGGGTGATGTTGGAGAGGATGGAGAAGAAAGAGGGCGACCATATGGAAGGCTGGGTTTGAGTACGTATGGGCTGGCTGCAAGGGGTTGACAAGCTGGGGGAGCGTGGTTAGGTTAGCCCAGATCAAGGTGGGATGTTTGGAACGGTAGGAGATGAGAAAGGCAAACAAATATGATTTGTCATCAAAAGCTCTCAATGTGGCTTGGCAAAAGGATGCAACGGAGGTCTGCATGCGGGCAGCTGAGCGATGGGGTCTGGACTCTGGACTCTGGGGATGGCTTGACGGCAGACAGCAGCTATTGGTGGCATTTCGCCTACTATCATATGACGGCTGGAAAAGCCTCGCTGCAAGTTCTGGCAAGTCGTAATTATGGCATTTTACGCACCTCTACGTCGGCTCGATCACAGTTGAGTTCTTCCGTTGATACAAGTCCGTTCTGCCTACCTATGCATCCCCTAAGATGGCACGCGTAGTGGAATATTGTTACAGGTGGCAAAGACGGCTGCGTCTCTCAGAAATCAGCGTTTGTTCCCGTGACTGGTGGAAAGCCATCGATCTACGAAGCCAGCCTCTTGCTTCTACTTCGAATTTGCGAGGTAGATGCTGTAGCCAAGACAGTGTAAGACAGTGTATAGAAGAGAGCCCGCCGATCCTCCTCCATAAGACCAAAGAACGAAACAAGACTCATCAGACGGTCTTGTCTTCTCACGCTTGCCTCCAAAACCTGCAGAATCATCTCGACTGTGTTCATCATGCATGCGCTCACTCTTCTCGGCCTCCTCCCAGTGGCCCTGGGCTGCCTGAACTCCAAAACCAATCCCTGCGCCAGCTTCATCAAGTCCAACGCCGCCCAGGCGTTGCCCTTCTGCGCTACGTTTACCCAGAGCCAGGTCACTGCCACCACTGGTCTTCCAGCGTGGGCCACCAACTGCAGCAACAAGCTGAAGCTCCTCACGGCCGAGTGCGCTTGCCACTATCCTGGAGGCGGAAACCCGCCTGCCACTACGACTACCACGCTCACGACCATCCGTACGACGAAGACGACGACGAGGACGGCTGGCAGCAACCCCAATCCTACGGGCGTCACTACTACCTTGCCACAATCTTCGGGAGCTGTTGCCACCAATGCTGCCATTGTCGTTCCGGTCTCCCTTGATGGCGGCATGAAGCTCTACGATCGCAGTCGTATGTGAGTCGCTCTTGCCTGGGAGTCCATACTGACGGGACGGTGGCTACATGTAGCTCGAGTCTGTGCCGAACAAGATGAGACTGGCGAGGACGACGCAATGTTTATCCTGGAGGATGGTGCCACGCTCTCCAACGTCATCATCGGACCAAACCAGGCCGAGGGTGTCCACTGCAAGGGACAATGGTACATTGTCTAACATTGGTCGATCTTGTCTGTGAATCTGAGATGCTGACCATGTCTTAGCACTCTGTGAGCTTGCTTCCTTACCGTAGAGCCTCTTCAAGAGCAACAGTCTAACAGTACCCAGCATCAACGTCTGGTGGCAGGATGTTTGCGAAGATGCCCTGTAAGTTCCAGTCCTTTTCTTCTTCTTCGTCTCGGAAAGTCCAGTATCTCACCCCCCTTGCCATGCAGCACCATCAAACAGAACAGTGGCACCTCCTATGTGATCGGCGGCGGCGCCTTCAAGGCATCGGACAAGATCTTCCAGTTCAACGGCTTCGGTACTCTCGATATCAAGAACTTTTACGCCGAAGAATACGGCAAGGTTGTCCGCAGCTGCGGCAACTGCAGCAACAACGGCGGTGCGCGTCACGTCGTCATGGACAACGTGCTAGCGCGGGACGGCGGCGTGCTGTGCGGCATCAACACCAACTACGGCGACACGTGCACGATCAGCAACAGCTGCCAGGACAGCAACAAGACTTGTGACAAGTACGATGGCAATAATAGCGGCAAGGAGCCCAAGAAGAACGGGTCGGGGCCTGATAGCCAGTTCTGCAAGGTTAGCGGTTTCAGCACCAGCTGCTAATGCAAAAGGGGGCTGGGTGTGGATGAGCAAGAATGTCGGCGATCTCAAGAGTTGGTATGCTTTCATGTGCCGTACACCCTCTGCGCCCACCCTTTCCGCGGGTCGTACAGTCCCATGCTACTAGCTATGTATATGAGTGATGTAGTACGCGTTCGCCGATAATGTGATGCTAGTCTTGGGCAATGGAGCCAAAATTGATCAGACCCTGGAAGATGACAAAGACTTACACAAGGCCTTGGAACATGGCTTCGAACCGCGGACACACGGACATGGTGGAGCAGCTGTTGGCGCAAGGGATCTCGTATTTTCCACTGGGTATGGTTGCATGTGATACATCCGCTGCAGCAGAAAAGTAACGGTGCCTACGCTCGAGCTTGCAATTGCGGCAAACCTGATCTTACCTACTTTGCGTGATCGCAGTCGTCAATACAGTGTCCTCCGTGCTTGCAATTGTGCTACTCTGCTAGTTCCACTCGGGTACATGTAGTGTGTAGTGAGCAAGTGTCGGGTAGCCGGTGGCCGTGAAGGCATGGTCAGAATAAGAAATGGGAGTTCGCGAGGGGAACGCTATGTAATGGTCAAGCAGTACGGAGAGCTGGGACTACACGGATATGTTGACGCCCAAGACACGCGTTAGGCATTCCTAAAACTGGTTGGGATTGCAGATCTGCAGATACAGGGCGCAAGGTGCTCCCCAACCACTGTCGATTCGCAGAAGCAGTCCCTGCGCCGTTCCCTTCTCATCATGAAACGCCCCTGAAATCCAAATATGGGCATCGACAGCACGGTGACCATCCTCGTTTAGGTCAACACCACCTGCAACATCGAAGGCGGAAGTCTGCACTCCTTAAGAGATGTTCAAATATGGCTTCATGAATGTCGATCAACCAGAGCATCAGGAGTCCTGACTGTCGTTTGTCAAATCAATCAGAAGCTTCTTCTCAGTATTCCCATCGCCCTTGGCAATGGGCCGGGAGCCTTTTTTTGGATTTTGCCTTGAAAGCATAGCCGTCTGTGAGGTTGCACGCGAAGATTGATACTCGAAGTCCACGTGCCCAATAGGTGACTTCCAATCAATGCTAGGGGGCTGAGGAGAAAGTGATCGTCGAGGACTGTCAGAACACTCTGAAACTTCGGTAGAGAATGAATAGAGTCTGAATCTCGCGCTTCTAGTTGATGCTTCAGCATTCGAGACCGGGAACAACGTGCCAGATTTGGAGGTTGAAGAGCCGTCCATGGGAGACCCGAAGATCCCTGCGCTCTCGTGTTCGAGCGCCTTGGGTGTAGTTGGTCTTGATTCTTCATGCGAAGTTCCTGATGTCGTTGCAGTTTCGCAATCTTCGGCATTCCCAATGTCGGTTGTTTCTTCTGCTGATGGTGGTTCATACTTGGCCTTCCCCTGAGACTGAGCTGGCGAATGCATTTGGGGGTTAGAGGATGGGCTGTGTCTGAAGTCGTTCTCAGCATCTTCGGACTCGCCCAACGAGCTGTTAAGACGGGAAGCTCCGGTGAACTCCTCGTAATCGTTGTCGTTTGGATCTTCGACGTCGTGCCTGAGGCTTGGGCTCGGAAGAGTCGATAGAGTGGTTCTAGTGCTTACTCTTTCCAAGGGCTGTCGTGTTTCAATGGTTGTTATTTCTGTTGCGGTTTTGTCCAAAGTCAAGCCCAGAGGCTTTAGACTCTCAGAAATCAGACGCCCCATCTCTTCAGTGAGGATTTGACGCTCGGACGATAGGATTTGCTGAACAAGCAAGCCTATAATCGTAGGTGTAGTCGTGATCTGCTTATCATCCTCGAGATCGATTCCAGAATGATAATCCAAAAGATCTTCAACCATGGGCACAACCGTCTTTAAACGCTCAATGGTCTGCTTGTGGCGACTAAGGGCCGAGCTTGCAGCATCGATGCCGACATTGCAGTGGACATGGTTCCATTGGTCGATATAAGTAGACATTAGGGGTTTGAATACTCGCATGGCCCAAGTGTGTGTGTTTTCCAGGATCATTTGGAACTGAACAACGTCTTCAATCTTGGTCATATTGCCTTCCCAGATGGCCCTCATGATCTGGGCACTCGTGTTAGTCAAGTGTCCAATATGCTACGTCTTTGGAAAGTCATCAGTCTGTGACTTACATAGCCCCTGTTTCGCTTCTTCCATGTAACGTCTCTCTCGTATCGCCGCCCACAGGGCGCCTCAAATTGTTTGGCAAAGTATATGACCCATACTTTGACACATGGTCCGATTGTTGTTACAGTTGAAACGGGAGGAACATGTGCGTTTTCGGGTAATTCGACAGCATACCTCGCCGCGATTTGATTCAGCCTGACCGCACATGCACCACCGTTGGCTGCCTGACAGGCAACAGTTTCTTCCCAGAGTCCCTCTTTTTTGTGCTCGACAAGGAGCCACGGAAAGCATTTGAGACTTGCTTCCATGGGCGGTTTCTGAAAAACTCGAAACGGAGTTGAGAGAAGGCCACAAGAGTATAATTTCTTGAGGCCTGACCACGAGAAGGGCTCCGCCAGCGGTGCATCCGTAGACTGGTTCCATTGCCGGGCTCCTGGCTCGCTGACGATAGGAATCCTCGGCTCGTCACTCAGGTGATAAATTGGCAAGTAGAAGGCGTAGTCTGGTTTCGGACACTTTACCGACTCGAATTCATGAAGTCCAGGCGTATCAACGGCGTCGTCTCGAAATAAATCCCACCGCTCATTTGACTCCCTTCTCAAAAAGTCAGTTACAGTTGTCGAAGTGGAACTCGCGCTGTATTCACGTACGTTCTAAAGGAATCGTAGTAGTAGTTACAACGAGAAACTCTGTATCACAGTAAGCTCTAGCCCCAATAAAGAAAATGTAATGTTTTATTTACCTTCTAGAATCTCCCTCTGATACCGATGTGCTATGAGCAAGCGGCTCAAAGAATTGGCTTTGAAAGAAATTTTCCCACCTCTTCTCCGCATAACCACCCTGGTGTATAGTCTTAGCTTTGTTGAGAATCTCGTGTGCTGCTGCCAACGCAGGGTCGGCAGTCTGGTCCCCTGGTCGAGTATGGGTCTGGCCAAGTCGAAACCCGTGCAGTCCGTCTTCTTGGTTCGGTGTTGCGTAGGAGAAGTCGAGCATGGATCGCCGCAGAATTTCCACGTGCGGTGGAAGCCGAATCTCAGTCGAGCCACTGCGAACGCAAGGGTCATAAAATATGGCCTTCTGGCCTAGTACCCAACGATCCCAGGTCATAATTGAAGCGTATCTTTGCAATCAAGGTCAAGATTCAGTACGAAAGATAATGAGCAACGATTTAAGGCTGCCTCTTCCCCCTCTTTTGTGTTCGAGCCACGGGGTTGCATCTGTTGGTCGCTGCCTTGTTCCCTGCTTGTGCATGTGCACGACCAACTGCATCCCACCCCAGCCTCGTTATCTCTTCAGCCTGACGAAACTGGCTAACATAGCCCGACCTATTTCCGTTTGCGCAGCTTTATTCGCGACGCGGACGGCATGCTCTGCACCACACCATACTTAACCTGACTACAAGTCTGGCTAAGAACAGAGGAACCAGGCTGGTAATTGTCTTTTCAAAGTACTGATGCTGATGGCGGTATCGCCACGTGCAATGATCAAATCTTTCGAAAGAGCCACAAAGGCTTGCGCAACGGGCTCTTGGGTCATAAGGGGGGCAAAAGCTCCATTTCGAAGAGCCACATCGGCGACGCGACGTGGTATTGCAAAAAGAGGTCGGATGTGTGAATGCATCTACTCCGTAGGCGAGGCTGCTTTTGATGGTTGCAGGTGGTGGTGTGGCCCTTCCTTGGCGTCGCATGCCGCATGTTCCCCTGTTTACAAGGGCGCTACCGTGACATTGATGGGTCTACGACTGCGTTGGCGCTTAGTTCCGCCCGTCTCAACTCGCTGCCAGTGGAAATGGCACTTAGAGTAGCCTTGAAAAATTGCTGCTTGAGCATACTCTCTGAACCAATACCCAACCTCAACGCTAGTACTACTGGAGGAAAAAACTGAGAGCAGCAAAGAGGAATCACAACTTGAGTGCAATGCGAGAGGGAAATCAAAAAGAAAGAAAAGTTGATTGTATTAATTGTCAACGATGCAACAGCTGCGTCACGCTCGAACTGCCGCTCCCTGGACCAAGGCAAGGTAGTCTGACCCAGCCAAGAGGGCACTCCTCATTCCACCTGTTTTCAACTTAGGCGACCTGGACGTTCGAAATTCGTCGCCGCGAAGTAGTTGGAAGGCACGGGTCGCCCCCCCAATAGCTAAAGCCTATAGTGAATGTCATGCATGCGTCGTGGACTCGTGGCAAATCTGTCGAGCTCGAGGCAGAATCCCCCGAGGTACTCACAGATCATTACAACCTGATGCAAAGCCCTGTATGCGGGTAAGTCTTCCCGGGCGCCGCCATACGCCTTGCGCTTATGCAGTTGTTTGACGGAGGATCGGGGTACACACAGCCCGAGCGCATGTCGCATCGCATGGTTGTACTGCGCGACCAACCGCATACAGCCCCGGCCAGCGCGCAACATGGCTTGACCAACGACCTTGCACCTTGCAACCACTGGTGAACTTGAAGGTCTCTAGTCAAGGTCCTATAACCATAGACGTGATGTCGTGGTTCTATTTCAAGCAAGGCGCTTTCCGCCTGTCCTAAAGTACTACGTTCGAAAGTCCTCACGTGGGACCGCAGATCCGCACTCCCTCCCTCTCTTCCAAAACATGCACACATAGACACATACATAAAAAAAGAGATTCTTGAGCGAGCAATGAAACTATGTCTAGTCCCCAGTCCAACCGCCAAGGGCCAGCTTCGGCGGCTCAAGCCAGACGGCGACGACGAGTGCATATGGTAGCTACCTCTCACCTCCTCTGATTTTTCTGGGGCAAAGCTCTCCGTCATCGATCCAAGATGTCACCAACGGAACAAGCCCGCTGCCATTTATGGCGCTGCAAACTGAATCCATCGAAGCCCTCTCAGCAAGCTCGCAGACACTTTGAGAAAATGCGACAAAGGGCTCATGCCAAGATGAAGCCTATGACCCGAGGGACGAGAGTTCCGTCAAGGCGTTTGTATCGCCCAGGAACCCGTGGCAGCGATGAAAGATCTGCGAACTGTCATGGAACATGCTTGCACCCCAGTAGTAACTTAGTCTCAACACAAGTAGTAGCGCTATGTGGCCCCAGTCACCATCGAGGTCATGTACCTCTCCGGTACCAGTATGGGATGAAGATTCTACTGGGAAAATGGATGAAAATTCGACATCAATAGCAACGACAACCTTTGCCTCAGCCCCACATTCACATGTTGCCTCCAAATCTCCTCCTCAATTTCAGCCCACTCGCACCGCCCAGGCCTTCTCTGCAATCTCATGCGCCTCCTCTAGCCTCTTGATATGCCCATCCAAATACTTCCTCTGCGCAACCGCCTCTGCGTCCTCGCATGCGAGCCGCTCAATCTTGTCATCGTCCAGCCCTTCGATCCACGCGCGCGAGAGTCCCTTCAGGGGGCCTTCTGGATTCGACACAAAATCTTCTACCACAGTGTTTGTAATATGTCGTACAAAGGGGCCTATCGAGATCTAGCCCTGTCAGTCTACCATCAATTCGTTCTCTCCCACTTGGACGTACCTCGTAATACACCGCCAGCACGTCATGAATCTCATTGACAATGTTCTGTTCCACGGACGGGTTAAGAAACTCATAGAGGCTCATCGCGTCATGGATGGGGAGCGTCTCGCCATACTTCTTGAGCACGCGCTCGAGGGACCGCTGCCAGCGAATCATCCGCCGCCTCTGCAACTCGTGGTAAAAGGCCGCGTCTGTCGTCTGGAGCGGGTACTGGTGCTGCTTCGCGCAGTACGCCTCGGCGGCCTCGCGCGCTTGCGCACGGGTGGCATCATATCGTCTCCCCAGCTCCTCGTGGAGCTGCTGGAACAGATCCTGCATCCCCTGGGGACACACGGCAATCAGCATGCTCCTGGATGCCCCGCCAACGACCAGACAGACGGCTTCGAGATGATCTGCTGTGAGCTGGGCCCAGTTCGCGATCTGCTTCTCGTACAGCACGGGCACAATCTCCGGGTTGACGAGTCCGGGCAGCTGCGTGCTTTGGAAGAGCTCAAGCTGGGAGCGAATCTCGTCAAATATCGTCTTCACCTTGGCGTCCCCGGGGCCGGCACAGGCACCAGCAGTGGGCTGGCTGGGTGGCGTTGACGGAGGCGTCGACACACTGACAATCGCGCCGGGCTTGGACTTGGGCAAGGGACTTGGGGCCGTCAGCGTCTCAAAGGGGTACTTGCGTCCGCGGTCGAGCATCTTCTGCGCAAACTCGTCATTGAGCTGCTTCACCTCGCCTCGCACGCGCATGACCTTGTCCTGTAGCAGCCACGGGCTGCTCAGCGACTTGTCCGCCAGGGACTCGTACACACTGACAATGCCCCGGAGGAACCGTTGGTGGTCCCTGATCGTGGTGCGCGGGTCGCCGAGAGCGTCACGCCCCGCCTTTGCACGCGACAAGAGCTCCCTGAGACGATCCTGCATCTGTGGGAACGACTTGCGGATGCGGCCGGCGAGCACGTTGCTCAGGTAATGGCGCAGTCTGGCTGTTCCGCGACGCGTCTCGGGGATCGCGGTCCAAGGGCTCTTGTTGAAGAGACGAGCCTCCGCGACAGAGAGCTCCAGGGACTTTGGGTCCTTGCGGTGCCGGTTTCGGACGACGAACCAATTGCCTCCATTGGCTGTTGTCGCATTCTTGATCACCTTCTCGGGGTGAGCACGGTTGAAATGTACATACGTAGACCGAGAGTGTGGAGGAACTTACTTGATCTTCACTGTGTACCATGTCACATTTGGTAAAAACACCCACAAACCGATCCATGCTGACAGACTGCGAGCAGAGATGGTGGACGGCGTGACCCTCTAGGTCGCTAACCGCATCGGCAACGCAGCTACCAGTGTCAGCCTGACGAATTCCGCGTGTAAAAGGTCGATCAGTACTCACATCAAAATGTTCTCCGGCTGCTTCATGTACTGGACCATCATGTCCTGAATGCCCCTCATCTCACTCTCGTTGATGTTCACTGGGCTCGCCACATAGCCCGGAATGTCGAGGATGCTGAAATGGGAGCGCGTCGGACCCGACAGCTCCACGCGCAGGACCTGCGTCGCAAAGTTCTTCTTGCCCGGCCCGGTGCCCGGCTTGATACCCATGTAGTTGGACGAGACATCTTCGATGATCTCGGTGAACTCGTCATAGGTGAGGGTCTCGCCCACGCGCTCAAACGCGGTGTACCCTGCGCTGGCATCGTCATGGTCGTACTCAAAGCCTGAGAACTTGAACTCGGGCTCCACAATCGTGATCTTGAACTGCGGAGTTGTGTTGGACCCCGTGCGCTTCGAAACGATCCGCGTGGCGAAGCGCGTGCAGCACCCAGTGCCCACCGGGAGCGGGATATCCGTCAAGCTCTGCACCAGAGAGGACTTGCCGCATGACTGGCCTCCAACAATGACCAACTGTGGAATCTCAATGTGCTGGCTGACGCCACACGACTGCAAGCGGTCAATAGCCTCAAAAAGAGGCCTGCTCTCGGGGCTGTCGAAAGGATTGTCGGGTATGGCCTGGCTGTGATCCTCGGTCATTATCTCGTCCGCAAACCCTAGGGGCTGTAGACGCTCTTCACCATGCTTCGACTGCCGCGAGTCAAGACTTGTAGAGGACGAGAAGGTTGCACTGCCTGATGTTGAGGAGGAGAAGGTTGCCTCTTCCTCGACAATGCGCAGCGGGGAGAGATCTAAAGGGGATTCCAATGATAGGGACATGTTCATAGGGGAGGGAAGGACAAACTCAAAATAAATAGCACGGAATTATAGAATATTGTCAGAAAACCAAGCCGCCTGAGCTGTGCGGCCCTTAGGCTTTTATAAATGCTTCCTCTCACATAGATGCTGCAGACGCGCGCGGAAAGTGCCCAGTAGGCCCCTAGCAAATGATCTGCTTGGCAAGGTTGATTCCAGCTTAGGGAGTTTGTTGGTTTAAGCCTTTTAATGCGTGTTCTACCCGCGTTCTACTCACCCCTTGTTCCAGACAACGACTGGGGAGAGAAGGCTGAGCAGGGCTATACCACTTTGAGGCATCTGTTGGTAGCAGAACCTGCAGGCTGCCATTCAAGAGGCCCACGAGCGGTTATCGAGAGAGTGCGAGGGCAGTGAGTTTTCGGTTGAGGTCTTGGATCTCCATTCCCGATTTGCTACCATGGAGATCTCGCTCTTCGCGATGAATTTGGTTGACCACGGTCGGATGTATGGACATGCGGCTGAATTCCCAGATACAGCAAGTACGGCCCTTTGCTTGGGGAAATGCGACGTGCCAACCCTTGAAGAAACTGAATGCCGGATTGCCGCCCCAGCTAGCTGTCGACTTTGAGCCCGAAGCGCAGGCATGATCTTGGCCTTATCAAGGCCAGTCTGCGCTTTTACTGGTTGCTTTTCGAGTGCCCTTGTCAGTTTCGAGCGGACCTTATGCCGTTGGTCGCCATCCTCCCAGCACATGCATCAGCCGTTGAGATTCGGGGGCGGGGGAAGCACGTCGAGGGGGCTCCAGACGAGACACCCCTGCAGCTTGCATAAACAGAAATAGAACGCACGGTTTCAAGCTACACATACTCTCAGGGCCATCTTGGCTTTTATCAGTGCAGACAACACCACACACTGCCACTCACAAGTCTACTCCTGTGGCCCAACCGGCACTCGGGTCCAGGGGGTCCACAGAACCGGCCGGGCTCCATCAGAGGCTCCACCTTCCGGGCCGGGCGAGGCCTCCCCCCCTCCGGACTGGCACAGAATGTCAGGCATGTCTATAGGTCCGGTGCTTGAAAAGATAGGCGTGGCATAGATACTCGTCTGTATATTTCAGAATGACACACAGGTGGTGATCCCACCTCCATATCATTGGAGGGTGCAGGCAGAACGAACTTAAGGCCATGAAAGGCATGGGCACAGACCGACCTGGAGCTGCCTGTCAACTTGCAATGACATATTATGACTACAGCTAGGTAGGTCATGACGATTGTTACCTCAGCGTAGGACAGCGCAAATTCTATGAGAAGGTGCATAAATTCCACTCTATCGATTTCTTCACTCAATAGCAATCTAATTGATTGTGTTATTGTTGCTCGACTTGTTGGTACACAAACGAGGCATAAGGTGCGCCGCTTGGTGCCTTATCACTATCCTTAATATCCGTAATAATTGATCTTGCTGGTCCATATATTTCCCAGAGCGTAACTCATTGCCACTAGGGTCGACGGGGTGGGCGTTCTGTTCCTTGCCCACTACTCTGAGGCTGGGCCATGACGGTCGTCCTCACGTGTTGTGATTGGCGACGTTCATCTACAGTCGGTCATGATCCCCCAATCCCCTGAGGTTGGCAACCCAGGCGGAGTAGAGGCACGCAGCCATCTTGGTGATGGTCTTTTTGTTTCATTAATCACACGCTGCCTGGTATGGTGTATCTTGCTTTTTATATGGCTTCACATCTTGCTTGTCGCACCAAGGGCTCTAATCCTAACGACATGAGTTTAAATAGCTCTGCCCGAACACACGGCTGTTCAGTTTCTCTTGTTCTTTATATAATTCTCATCAAGTAAATGGTGCGATCTCTTGTCCCTGTGACCTGACAGTGCTGTGGCGCTTGATGAACTCGAACGCCTCTACGGACCACCTACCGAGAACGACAGCCCCCTGAATTCCTATGTTATATCGTAGCGAAGCTGCCGCTTGCGAAGGAGAGTGTAAAATCATAGGTTAAGACCTAGGAACCTCCCGGCTACGGCGCATACGGGCCTTGCCGATCGAACGTTTCTCTAGCAACTATCAGGGCCGCAGCGACCACAAAGGGATCCCGCAGCCCCCTAGATTGTAGGCTTTCCCTTCCTTTTCTCCTTAGCTTTAGATAAACTTAATTGAGGCCGCCTTTACGTTGTTTCAACGAGGGCCCAGCCCTCCACACTTTAACCAATTCAAAAAATTCCTTGCCTTATTTTTACAAATTATTTGTAGAACATTGCCTCCGTAGCCTGTTCATGGTTCGTGCGCCGGATACTATGGTCTTGAAATCACTACCGAAAGTGGCAAATTATTGATCGTATAAACGACCTGGAGGGGAACAGCTCTTCTAGCTTCAACCGTTGAATTCGGCTACCATCTTTCACTAAGATGGCATACAAGGTGTCGGAAATGCTGCATCTCAGACCTGCCCGAATTTAGCGTCATGGTGGAAACTCATCCAGTGCAGGGGACTAAGCGCCCGCTTGCAACACGGACTATTTTAGCCTTCACCTGAGCCTCGACAAAAGACAATCAGGGTAAATTGTATACTAGTTCCTGATGAAGGTATTCAAGAGAGGTGTATCCCATAGCTCATCAGCACAGACTTGTCAGATTACTTTTATACTCCAAGAGAAATCCTACAACCAAATTGCTTGTCCGTATACCATCTACCAGAAATCACTAGCCAAAGCGAACACCACTAACCTTGCCAGAATTGTTCCCAATCTGAAACCCCGAGTTGGGCCCCGAAAACACCACGCTGTTGGTATAGGCGGTGGTGGACTGAATGACCTTGACCACCGTCTCACTCAGCAGCTTGTCCTGGCCAGCAGCGACCTCCTTGAGTAGTGAAAGAGCGTCCTCGTTCCCTTTCAACCCAGACAACTCCTCTTCACACAGCTTGCGCTGGTCGTCCTGAATGCCCGGGAAAAGATCGACTAACCCGTCCACCAGTTCGCTAATATCGTCGATCAGTCGCGCAAAATTCTTCTCCCCGTAGAGGACAGTCACTTGGTCCTGCTCCAGCTCGGACTTGCCCTGCCGCTTCTTCGCGAGACCTTGCATCTTCTCGTGCAGTGATGCTGAGACGCCGTCGAGCTCTTCGGCCGGGTCCAGCACTTTGACAGAGGGATTCCGCCGTCGCAATCGCTTCGACGCCGCCTCGGCTTCCGCAAAAAGCTCTAAAATCTGAGCGAGAAGATCCTGCACCTGCTCTTGATCCCCAGAAGCGAGCTTCGTCATCCGGAGCTGTTTCCCATCGCCCCCACGGGCCTCATCCACATTCCCCAGCCCAACCGACTCTCCCCACCACGTCAGCCGGAGCCGCACAACGTCCAGTCTCAACAAACTAGTCTGGAAGCTCGTCTGCCCGAAGTTGGACCCTGGCTGGATGTACTCGAAGCTCTGCACGGCGTCGTTGAACAGCCGAGACTGCTCGTCTAGCTTCGCCAGCACGGCGTCCTGTTTCAGGTCCAGGGCCTCGGTTTGCTCGATGAGCGTCCCCGTGTCGGATTTGATCGACTCCAGCCGTCCGTCGATGACGGTTACCTGCGCGACGAGGAACTCGACGTTGCCGTTCATGCTTTGCACGATTTCGTCGAGGATCTCGACGGTGCGGAGGGTCGCTAGGCCGACGGCTTGCGTCAGCTCGTTGACGGCCGTTTCCATTTCTTGGATGGCGCCGGAGAGGGCGCCGTCTGACCCATCGATCAGGCTGGAGAACCACTTTTCTAGATTCGTGGAATCGTGATTAATATCCCTATCGCAGGGGAAACAAGAAAGTGCGCGATCAAGGCAAACCTGTTCACTCACTGAATCTCTTCTTCCTGGCATAGTCCTGCGCCACGGAACATATAGTCAACATGCCAGAAAAGACACGCGCAACGCATCGCTGAAAGGGCGCTTGCTGGGGAGTTTTATATTCGATCATGGAGAGTCGATCGAAGAAGCGATGTGTAAAGTCGAAAAACCCCATGATCTTGTCGTAGTCGGCGGACACGGAGGCAAAAGACTTACGAATTCATATCGTCAACTTTGTGAGCAACCAGCAGGAGTCTGTTCTCGTACCTGCATGACATGTCCAAAGGCCGTGAAAATCACGCTGGCTGGCATCGCGGGGGGGAAAGCCTGGTCATCAGCATCAGCATCAGCATCAGCATCAGCAAACACGCTACGCTATCAACTCCAAATAAGAAAGACATACCGACGCAGCATTCCCAACGACCTCGACCGTATTGACAATCTTCTGAATGAGCCAGAGATTATTCTTAAATGCAGTCCGCACATTGTCTGTCTTCGACCGGTCATGCCGGAAATCCTCAAACTCGGTCGACAAGCCTTCCGTGCCCTTCATTATCTGGTCGATGTTGCTGAACCGGCCGGCCAGGTGGAGGGATTTCTTGGTCGTCTTCTCATAGTCCGCGACTGCTTCTTGCCAGAGTCGGGCGATGTCCGACATCTGTGCTGCGTCGAGGGTCCCCTCGTTAGCCATGTTGGATGGAGCACGCGTGAGAGACGGATGAATGCTGGGCCGATATGGAATGAGCCAGCGGGTATGGGAATGGTGTTGTTTCCACTCGGACACTGGAAAGCCAATATCTAATTGAGAGCAGAGGTGGGCTGAGAGGTCTGGACGGATGTCAAGTCCGCAAGCCCGCAACCCAACTTGACTGGCGAACCAATAGAAAGCCAACAGCTGTGACCTGAATTCTTGGCCCCTAGCCCAGCTTGACCCCTCAAACCCCACTTGGTCTCAGCACAGTGAAAGATACCGTCTTCCCAGTTTGGAAAAGAACGGCACACTCTACATGCAAATGCACTATCCCATTTGAAGAGACTACGGCATACTCAACTTGCTTGTAGCGCAGTTTCACAATGAGTTCGGACCACTTGTTGAACGAGACTGCTCAGCAACAAGTGTGTATCAGGTAGCAATGCTCAGGGCGGGTAATTGAATTGCCCCGCCATAAGCTGATTGACTAGCGTGACGCTTGGGCATAATACACTGGAAATCGACAAGGGTGTTGACAGCCCCTCTTCCTCAAGAGAGGGTATGCATACTCCTCCCCCATATCGTATATCGCCCAGTCACATCACTGCCCTGTTTGCCTCTTTGAACGTCTTGCATGGAACTAACGCGGAGTCGGAAAGGGCCGCGCCGAGACTTCAGCCAGCCAGCCACATCCGGGTACGTAAATTGTTCAGCGTGGAGCTCTGACAAGTGCATGGCGCTTTAGCCGCTTTGCGTATTTTTGGAAAGGATGGATTACAGCCTTGGATTGTCGCTGAGACTAATGGACAAGTAGGAAGCAGATCTAATGATGACTCTTTTGTCTGTGTGTGAATTTTACACGCTCCGACCTTGGTCGTATGTTGTCCCTTCTGTTTCACTTCTTCTCTCTTCTGCATCGTATAGTCAATAATCCTTAAAAGTCGCAAAGGATTGCTCACTGACTTCTTGCTTTCTATATATCCTAGCCAGCTTTCCTTTCCACTACACCCATCTTCAAAATGTCCATCCGAGCGGTTCGAGAACCGGCCAACGCCAAAGTCGAGTAAGACCGCTCATCCCATTCCATCTTCTCTTAAATCAACAAATTAACCCAAAAATCACCCCATAGTATCGTGTTCGTCCACGGCCTGCACGGCGATCAAGCACCATGGACATCTGAGGCCGACGTTTTCTGGCCAGAAAAGCTCCTTCCGGGGAAAATCTCCGACGCATGTATTCTGTCGTTTGAGTACGACGCGGCCGTCGGTCTCTTTTTCGATGAGGACGACGAAGTCACGGACATTTCCAACGACCTGATTAACGAGCTGATGGACCATCGGACTGAGAAGGACAATGTATTTTTTTCCCTTCCTTCTTCCCAGTTCCGCTCCCGCTCCCGCACGACTTCGCTAGGGGCTCTTGCTCTTGAATCCAGCTGGTTGACGAAGCAACAACAGGAGGAAAGACCGATTATCTTCGTCGCGCATTGTCTCGGTGGCGTTGTTCTGGAGAATGTGCGTCACCTTACCCTCACTGCTCGAGTTCCACCATGGGAACCCCTTCACTAACGTGGGACATGGTCATTTCATGTCCGTCTAGGCCCTCGTCCGAGCCGCTGAACACCCCCGCAAAAAAGGGCTCATCAGCTGTATCCACGGCATCCTCCTCCTCGGAACCCCGCACTTCCAACCGGACTCGCTCGCAGCAGCGACCAAGTATCTCCAAACCGCCAAGGCCTCGATCCCCAGCGAGCCGGACTTGAAAGGCCGATTAACCCGCCTCAGCGGGATCCCCTGGCGCTTCGCTGAGCTCAAGCAAGCAGGCGCTGAGTTCGAGATCGAAGGGTTCTACGGCAGCAAGGAGACTAAGATCGTGGATGAGGCGCTGGCCCGGGCGCCCGATGCGCCGCCGCCCGAGCGCCTGGCGCGCAGTCACCTCCGGCTGAGCCAGTATGATGCTGAGGATGATAAGGATTTCAAGAAGGTGGTGAGGGTGCTTACGCAGTGGGCGGGGAAGATTGTGCTTCCGGAGGAGGAGAAGGGGGCTGCGAATGTGTCAAATGCAACGTTCTCGGGTTCGCATAATTCGGGGTTGCAGCTTGGGCAGAATGTGGGCACTCTGAAGGAGTTTAGCTTTGGCAGGGGTTAGATAGTTGCAGATGGGGGAAGTTCGAGCCAGTTGACAGTTGGGCGGTTACGGTTAAAAGGGGAGGGGATAGATTCATGTCTTCCGCGCTTTCCAGTCGTCATGCTAGGAAGCTGCCTCACTCGTAAAGCTGATAGCATAATCGAAATACCAGATTAGGGCGTTCCAGGCAAAGGGGGAAAATCTATTTTGAGCTCTCAAATAGCACTGCACCCTACAGCACGGGAATCCAGATAATTCGTGTTGCTAAGGTAGTGGCTAACTGCGGGAACCCCGAATCCTTCAATAGTTAATTCCTGGCAACTGCACTTTATAAACTAGCACATCACCTGACATCTCTAGTATCTCTAGGCAAGCGCTCGTTCAGCTGGCGGGGCTGAGCTGCAGCTTCCCTCCACCACAACTTTACATCAGTGACTGCTTCTACCTTATGATACGATGGCCACGTCCACTGCCTTTAATGCGGCAAACCATGGCCTCCAGATTGGAAACAACTCTGGCTCCATCACAGCCGAATTCCATGTGGCACGGGGTACGTCACGATGTGATTTCCTGGTTGTTTATTAGATGGTAGGCTAAACGCTGTTTCTAGCGCACACAACTGAGGACATTGATCGAATCTCTCTGCACGCTCTGCGCTGCCCGGACTCGCTGGCCGTGAAGAATCGCCTGAAAGAGAGCAAGGACCGGTTGGTCCACCAGTCTATCCAGTGGATTCTCGAAGATGCGCAGTACAAAGAGTGGGAAAATGGGGACGAAATCGGCCTGCTCTGGATCAAGGGAGGCGCAGGGAAGGGCAAGACGATGTTGTCGATTGGGCTGATCGAGCAGCTTGCCCGAGCTGCGCAGGCGGAGGATGACTCGACCTTGGTGATTTATTCGTTCTGCCAGAATGCCGACTACGAGCTCAATACGCTGGAAGCCATTCTCAAGGGGTTGATCCTGCAGCTGGCAAACCAGCGACCGGAGCTGAAGGAGTCGCTACGTCGCCGATGGGACACCATACAGGAGGCCTTTACCGAGGATGTCACCTCGTGGCGATCGCTGTGGAATATTCTTTTCGAGATGTTGGCCCGGTGCAAGTCCTCAAGGGTATACATGGTTGTTGACGCGCTTGATGAATGTGTGAATGACGACGTGGTGGACTTTCTTAGGTCCATCGTGCGAAAGGGGCTCGATCATCCGGGAAAGATCAAGTGGCTGTTGACAAGCCGGCCATGGGACGGGGCAGAGCGGGTCCTGCTAGCTGGTCCAGACCAGCTGCAGATCAATCTGGACGGGGAATACAATTCCCAATCGGTTTCTGGGGCTGTGGTCGCTTACATTGCTTCCAAAGTGGAGCAGCTTAGTCGCCAGCACAGATATGGAGCGACTCTAAAGAGCGAAATGGTGACTGAGCTTACCGAAAGATCAGAAGGGACCTTCTTGTGGGTAAGCTTGGTATGCAAGGCGCTCGAGAGTGTCTCTCGAGAGGATGCTCTGGCCACCGTTCAAAGCCTGCCCCCAGGATTGCATCCATTCTATGATGGGGTATTGAGCCAGCTCAACCAAGGCGAGCCGGCTGAAGTCCAAAAGTGTATGCGACTACTCAAGGCCATGATGACGGTATACCGACCTTTGAAAGTGGAGGAAGTTGCTAGTGTCATCGGCCTGACCGATGAAGAGGAGACCATTAGAGCATTGGTCGACTGCTGTGCTTCGCTTATCCGGCTGCGTGAAAAACACATCGAGTTTATTCATCAGTCAGCGCGAGACTACTTGGCCGGAGAGAATGGTCTGGCTATACTTGACTCCCATGGACGCTTCGGACATGAAGAAATTGTCCTCGCTTGCATGTCTTATCTGTCTGAATGTCTCAAGCCCGACCTTGTCGACCTGCCGCGACCAGATGCCACGAGAGACTCTTTGGAAGTTTTGGAGAATAGGCCAAATGAACCGAAGAATGGCATACTGTCTTGAGTAGACTATGCGGCCATGTTTTGGGTGTCACATCTCAAGAACGCAAGCAAAGACAGCGACAAGAGTCAAGTTGGCGTCTTCCTACACAATAAATTGTTGGAATGGCTGGAATGTCTGAGTCTGTTGGACAGACTGCCAACTGCGATTAACGCGCTGAGAGCATTGGAAGAAATATTGAAAGTAGGCTCGTGATGACTTCGCTTACGTTTACGTCTTTACTGATCAAGCGGACACAGGATGACGGTCAAGCTCTAGCATTTGTGCAGGATGCTACGCGGTTTTTAATGCGACATTACCACACCGTGTCACACTGGCCACTGCAAATCTACAGCTCTGCCCTCGTCTTCAGCCCCGAATCCAGTCTTGTCAGAGGAGAAAGTCTTGACAAAGTGCCTGTATGGCTGAAAAGAGCCCCGCCCATGGAGGAGGGGTGGACGCCTCTGACACAGACTCTAACAGGCCATCGGGAAACTGTCAAAGTCATCACATTTTCGCCCGACGGAAAGCAGATAGCATCAGGCGATGAGGATGGCGTAATTAAGCTCTGGGATACTGTTACAGGAAGCCTCCAGCAGACACTAGAAGAGCGGTGGTGTGACACAGATATGGCGCTCCCCCCAGATACCCAGCTCCAGTGGTGTGTCACAGCCATGACGTTCCTCCCCGATAGCAGGCTCCTGTTGTCCGGCAGTAGTGACGGCTCTCTCAAACTATGGGATATCACTACGGGCGAGCCTCAGAAATGGATCAGCTTGAGGGGACCAGACGACCGCGATGGAGGGCCCCGTAGCCCCTACGCCATGGCTTTCTCGGCGGATTGCAGGCAGCTCGCGGCCGATGGTGTTGGCCTTGACGAGTATAGCTATATCATGCTTTTTGACGCAACTACTGGAGATCGCCAGAAGATACTTGCAGATCATCCACAAGGGCCCCTGGCCATGGCCTTCTCACCGGACAACACCCAGCTTGTAGCAAGCTATCTTGAGGGCACAATCCGGATCTGGGATCCGACCACAGGCGGCATTCAGAAAACATTAGTCGGCCACAAAGACAGGGTTTGGAATGTGGCCTTTTCCCCGGATAGCACGCGGATTGTATCTGCCTGCCATGAGACGGTGAATTTCTGGGATGCGGCAACGGGTGATCTCCAGGTGACATCCACGTACCCTAATGCGCGGGCAGTCGCTTTTTCACCCGATGGGAAACATTGTGCAGTATGCTTTACTCATGACATGATCATCTGGGATGCTGAAGGCAAAGCTCAAAAGACCATAGCACTCCGGTCAGCAGCCGCAGTTGCGTCCATGGCCTGGTCACCAAACGGCAAGGAGATCGTTACAGGCTCGTGGGACATGATCATCAGGCGCTGGGACATTACACTAGGGGACACTTCGCACGCCATCGGCCACTCAGCCAGGGTTTTAGCTGCGGCAATCTCACCAGACGGCAAGGTGATTGCATCTGGCTCCGCGGACAAGACTGTGAAGCTTTGGGATCCTGCAACGGGCGATCTCGCGCAAACCCTAACTGGCCACCAAAAGATGGTGTTTTTTGTGCGCTTTTCATCAGACAACAAGCACCTAGCCTCGTGCTCTGACGAGGCAGTCCACCTTTGGGATGGTGCCGTAGGCGACCTGCAATGCTCACTCAAGAGCGATGACGATTTTAGCACAATCGCCTTCTCACCCGACAGCCAGCTCATCGCGACAGGCCACAAGCACGGAAGAATCCGTCTCTGGGACCCTGCCACTGGTGACATCAAGATGACACTGGCAGGCCACGTCAACAAATTAGTGTCCCTGCCGGGGTGGGAGAACGAGTGGGATCAAACGAGTGTCACCATTTTGGCCTTTTCACCTAATGGCAAGTTCATGGCGTCAGCCTCTGAGAATGGACTACTTAAGCTGTGGGATCCGCAGACTGGAGACCTGCTAAAGACACTCGAATGCAGATACGAGAGCATGATTACGGCGGCTACGGTGGGCCTTACGACAGGGGCTCATAGACACGCTACCGTTGTTGCAGTGGACTTTTCACCAGACGGCCAGCACATCGTGGCGGTCTGCAATGATCAGACCATCAAGGCATGGAACATCAAAAAATCACTCAAGGCCTCCAAGTTCTTGGGGCGCGCTGTCGGGAGCCACATCAAGTCGTCCCGGCCCTGGAAGGAGATTCAGACGGCAGAGCAGGCGTATGATGCACATTTCACAGCAGACAGCCGATACCTTGAAACAGACATCGGGAAAATCGCTTTTGAGAGCATCGCCGCGTCAAAGGAAGGGGAGGAGGAGGGGGAAGGGAAGAAGCAACTGCCAGTGCAGTCAGATTCGGATTCATTGCAGAATCTTTATGTCAGAGATGAGTGGATATGCTATGGGACCATGCCCTTTCTTCGGCTCTTGCCTGACTTCCAAGTCGTTTGTTGGGACGCAAACGGTAATCAAGTGGTCATTGGATTCACCACGGGTCTTGTCTCATGCTTCGACATTGATCGACGGAGTTTGCATCGGTACTGGGAACAACTTTAACGATCTCAATCGTTAGGTAACTGTATATAAGTTCGGCGGTTATATAAATTGTAAGGTCATTATATTATTATTATTCATTAATATTACTCGTTAAAGTACCGGTAAAAGGTATCAAGAACAAGTAATATAATAAGCGCCTCGCTAAGGTTATTATATTTATTCAAAAAAAAAAAATATCCCTTTCATACTAACTTAAGAGAAGTGTTTATTAAGGCGAATAAAAAAAAGAATTTTTAATAACTATAAAAATGAATAAAATATACTTGACAAAGCTAATTCTAGCTTTAACTGTAATTAAAAATTTACTTAACTAACGTTCTTATTGTCCTCTCGAGCGTTATAAGAGTTGTAGCAATAAAGGGACAACTTTAATAGACGCCATTGGAGAAGTCAACCACGATGGCTTTCTCGACTAGGCCGCCAATGCTTTTGATAAAAGCCTGATGAGCAGGGTCCGTCTTGACATAAAAGTCTCGGTCCTCTACAGAGTTGAATTCCACGACGAATCCATGAGTGATGCCATTCTGCAATAGCGGTCAGTACGCAAACAGAGCTACGGGGCCACCATGCCTGTTCCGTACCTGCAATCCCTCGGGAGAGTTGTCCTGTCCACCCTTCAACGAGGCGATGTAAGGAGTATTCTTTGTTGGGTGGATGCAGTTGTCCTTGAGCGCAAGAAAGCGATCGCAAGCCTGGCATGATTGTAAGCTATTGCCACTAGCTGTAGGCTTCATGGAGAAGTATGTTACGGACCGCTTTCACATCCTCAGGCTTGACGTCCGCCTGGATCTTGAAGAGCACGGTATGCGTGATACTCATGGCTGCGTGGGGAAACTGAATAAGATCACACGAGGCTGGAAAGGAACCAGCGACACAAAGTAAAGTAAGGGAGCAAAGAATAAAACCACGACAGGGCGCCTTCTGATTACTGTGCTGAATGGTACGGTGGTGAGCGGTTAACCTGGAGACAGAGGAGCTTCCCCGCTCGCATCGTCTGGAAGTGCCAGAACTCCACCGCATACGTGTAAAATGGTATTTAAAATGTAAAATCGTTTCGACTGTGGGCCAAGCCCCGCTTACGAGGCATGGCTGCTGAGAAATGGCGGCTAAAACCGAATGAGAATTGGATCTGAATCTGAACCTAACTCTAGGAAGGTTTGCTGTGATAGCTTATATGTTTCAAGCATTAGGAAGACTTTTTGACTAGCCTATATATGATTTAATCGTAAGCAATTTCTATGAAAGAGAGTGGGGGCAAAATATCCTATAATATAACTCTTAGTCCTCAGGTGTATGTTAAAAAGCCTCTGATATTAAGGGTGACTATTATAATGAAGAAATCGATCGGTACTATAGGCGATCGCCAAACCTCGACAGTAGTTTAAGGTAAGGCACTATTCGGGGGATCTATAAATATATTAGGCGCCTTAAAATAAGCGGTAATACTATTAAGATACGCTAGGTATCGTCCATAGACGGATCTTTGACACTGCGAGCAGAAGCAAAGGCCGAAGCACGAAAAGCCAGAGTCTGCAGGTGCGTGTTAACAAACCTGCCGAAACCGGCCAGATCGGCTCGGCTGAGAGTACTGTTGACACAACGTCGACAGCGCATGATGCTGCCAGAGGGCGTAGGCGGCTATTCGAAGCGACTCGACAAGGCGCTGCCCGGCAAACACATATGTACACTATATGACGCCCTGAAGAGATGCGAGTTCGAAATCCTGGTGTAACTACAAGCAGAGATAGCAGGGGTCAACAGATATCTGCACAGGATAGGCGCAGAAGAGACAGACACGTGCGACTGCGGTCAGGTGTAAGTAATGGTTGATCATTTCCGCTCCCGATGCACATGATGGGACGGGGAACGGGAACGGATGCGCAAAGTCGACCAAACAATGATGCGAGTCTGGGAAATATGGCGAAGGGCAGAGATTGGTGTTTGAGGGTCTCGGGGCCAGTACGTTGGAAAATAATGTAAGGAGACTTAACGTGATAGGCCTTTAGACACGCATCTTCCCGGGCGAATAAATTCATTCTTTCATTCTTGATTCTTTGACCACAACTCCATGCACAAGCCTATATCTTTCCAGCTTATTGAGCAATCTGGATAGCCTATAATATTGTCTGGATGATAGCAAGCGAAATACTTAAAGCCCTAAACAAGGCCACCAGCCAAAAGGTCTAAAACTATAATATATCTCGCCGATCACGGAGGAGTCCCGACATTAACCTCGGCCTGGCCCCGCTTAGCTCCTTTGCTAGTAACTTAACTCTCCTATATAAGACAAGAAAATCCCGAGCCGTATAATAGATCCGGCGATCCCTAGATAGAACGTTTATATAGGAAGCCTCGAGATTGATCTAGCGTTATCCACAGAGGATATAAAGTAGGGTATCGGGCTAGGGAAACGGTAAATAAGCTAGGTTAAAGATACCCCGAAAAAGTTTCCTGGACTTTTTATATTAACGTGATTGATAAGCGAATGTCCCAGACAAGCGAATGTCCCACAAATCGCAACACCACGAACAAGATCGTCAAT